GCGTTGAAAAGTCTGGAAGAGCTCCTCCGGCTCCAGCTGCAGCTCAAGCAGCGCCCGGTCCATCTTGTTCATCATCAGGACCGGCTTGATGCGCTCAGCGATCGCCTGCCGCAGCACGGTCTCCGTCTGCACACACACACCTGTCGAGAGGGCAGAAACAGGTGAGCCCTCGGGGGGGGGGGGGTGTAGGAGGACGTGGAGGCGAGGGCGTTTTGGTCACCTGAGACACAGTCCACCACTACCAGGGCTCCGTCCGTCACCCTGAGGGCGGCGGTGACCTCAGAGGAGAAGTCGACGTGACCGGGAGAATCGATCAGGTTGATGAGGAAGCCGTTTCCGTCGTTGTTGTGCTTGATAAACGCCAGGTCGTAATCTCCAAGCTCGTAGTACAAAGAGATGGCGCTGCACGGCAGAGGGGACAGGGACAGGCTGGTTCACGCTCACTATACCTGCTGCCGCTGCTCATTAAAATAAAAGACCAAAACTACATACAACCGAAAGAGTTTCCAAACTGAGTCATCTCAGTACTGGAATGATGGACATTTACAATTTTTTTTAGATTTTGGAAAATGTCCCCCGGACATATTTGAGAAATTTACATAAAGGAAGTAAAAGAAATGTTCTATCGTTACAAAGTCATGCTTGGATAGTAATGATAAGCTGATATTTTGAAATTAAAATGATTTTTATTATGGATATTTGCTGTATTAGAGAACTATATGCTAGTTTTATAACTTTTAATAGGTGGCACCGAAAAACAACGGAGCTGTTTCTCAACCCACTTCTCACATACGTTGATTTGATGGTGATGCAGCGCTCCTGCTCGTCCTTGCGAGTGTCTGTGAAGCGCGTCTCCCCGGCGCGGGACGAGGCAATGATGCCCGCCTTGGACACCAGCGAGTCCGTCAGAGTGGACTTCCCATGGTCCACGTGGGCAATCACGGAAATGTTCCTGATGTTGGACTTCTTGTCCATGATGGCACGGATCTGATCCACAGTGAAGTTCACCTGGTGGAGGGTTAAGTCTGGGGTGTTACATTCATCCATTCACATCCGGGAGAGGCTCATGTTATTCATCGTGTAGTAGTTATTCACGTCCAGTGCCAGATCCCTGCAGCCGGCCCAAGCAAAGTTATAAAAAGAAGACAACTTGAAACTGAATCCATCAGCCCGGCTGCGAGAAGGAATGTCGGCACTGCACAAATACTTTACCTTCCTGTTCCGAATCAAACAACACACCAGGAGCGGCTGAGTCACCGTGCTGCAGCTCACCGTGTCACGAGGGGACAGCATGTCTTCATTATATAGCTTGGGTTCCCCTCAAATGATCCTTAGCTCAAGCAATATGTGTTGCTCATGTGCAATCCTCTGACATCAGAAATACAACAAGTGAGGCTTGATGTAGAAATTATACAATTTGATGATGTGATGATGTAAAATGTATGTATGCATATATTAAGAAACTAAACAAAGACTGAGGTATTATTTGCGATGATGAAGCCTTTTTGAGAAATGTTTTTTGAAAATCACATCTATCTGAGCCTCAGTATCATGAATTTATTTAATACGAAAAGACAAGCAGCACTATTTAACACAACGTCTAGCACGTTAACGTCCTTCTGTCCACATAACGGGGATAGAGATAGAAAGTTCGGAGTGTCCAGGCATTCACTGAGACACATAATAACCCATTATAGGCCTTTATAAATCACCATCCACCATCGAGAAACAAAATCCACTGCAGCTCTCGCTGTCGGTGACGTATTATATACAATAATATATTATGTATTACATGCAATCATATATTATGTATTGCATGAGCTATGTTTTTTTAATAGAATCAATGTGAAAAAACACACACACGCACAACCAACATGTTAGCATGTGCCAACTTTCTGCACTTGTGTGATGTGTGCATTGATGCTACAGCAGCAGCTTGGTATTAAAGGCTTTGCTTGGAGCAGATCGGTGAGCGAAGGCCCTGCTGCCTTTATCGGTGCTGCTAGTGCGTATGTCGCACGCAGAGCCTCTACATGATCCCATAACATCCTGTTTCACACACACACACACACACACACACACACACACACACACACACACACACACACACACACATACACGCGCATCCGTCAGGCTGCATTGCACCGAGAGCTCTTAAAAACTAAAACTACATCACAGTCATGCGACAAATAATAGAGCACGTAAACAGCAGCCCCGTCTCGACTCACCATTTTGTCTCCGGGTGTTTGGTCTCTGTGACTGTGCAGGGCTGCGACACACTGCCTCAGAGGACAGGCGGTCCCGGTGGAGACAGGAGGAGGGACGCTGCTGTTGCTGCTGCGGACGAGCTGTCGCGTTCAACGCGCAGACTCCGCCTGCAGGGGGCGCCGCTTCCGCAGAGTCCGGTTAGAGATAATGCTTAAAAAAATATTTGTTTTTTTATTTATTTATATTTTATATATGTTTTTATCTTGTTTTATTGTTTTGAATCATGGTGCAAACCGATAAGGCAAAGTCACATTTAAAGCTAAAAAGGGAGTGAGCTTAGCTGCTGTTAAATGTCACCCTGCCTTTTCCATTCCCATCCCATCTTTTTTGTAGGAGATTTTCAATTACACTCTTAAATCTCTTTTTAAAAACTGAAAACTTCCTTTGTCACAAAGATTTCATATTCTGCTTTAGATTACTTTAATGTGATTAAATCAAAGTGGACATCCTGTTTACATGTGTTTATTTTGATGACATTTTGTTGGTGAAAGTAGTAAAGGAAGGTCGAGCACCTTTGAGTTGAGTATGTACACATAGAGGGTACGCAGCTTTTCTCTTCAGAGAATATGGATCCTCTGCTTATCAAAGCAAAGGCTGTCCTGTTTCAGGAAGTGTAGCAGTCTTCCACCAGCTGAGGGCAGAGCAGGGCAAAGCATCTTCGGAAACATTTTCAGGACGTGATCCTTTCAACAGTCAAAAAACGATGCACAATAAATGGATGTTCATCCAGATGCTCTTACAATATTTGCTACAGTAGTACAGTAGTGGTACATAATCCAAACGGTTTAACACGAAGATAAAATAACAGAGCCTATGCTGGAGAAGAATACACAAGCTAAATTCATTTTTTATTAATTTTCATTCATTTTGCATGTAATCCTGTGAGTGATCTAATCGAGAATACATTTGTAACTGTAAGGATTCCATTTGGTAGAACGCGTAAACTAAATCTAGAGTTAAAGGTAAAAAATAAAAGACTGTATAAAAACAATTCATCTCCACAATCATAATGAACTCAAGGGAGGCAGAATAACAAAATCTCTAATGACACCAAAAAACAATTATTTCCCTAATCATTTAATTTTCGTGGCACTGTGTTATGTTTCCTCCAGCGACCGACCGACAGTGCAGCCTGCTGCCAGGTGTGCAGTCATTCAAGGAGATGAGCACCCACCACTTTGGTTTAAAAATAGTGCCTGTTTTATGCCAGTACATAATGCCTGTTTATGAACCGCCGGCGTCACTCAAGCTTCCTCCAGTAGGATATTTATCTTAGAATACAATGAATACATATCTATTCAAATGGTAGAATGAAATGATCAAATCTATGTCATGTAATATATTTCACCTCTAAACAGGCATAATCTAAATATTGGCTAATTTTTTGTTTTTTTAACTCTAATAATATAGGCTTGGCATATATGTGAACAAAACCACTGATAGATTGTTACCCCTTCATTCTTAGAAGTCACTTGTTGCTTGTAAGTTAAAGAGAACCTTCTGGAGAGGGAGGCACTTATCTTGTGTTTAAGATATGATAGAAATGATTAAAACGTGCTCAGCTGCCATGAGGTGTGTTTAATCTTCTTTTTCCCAAGCTGAACGTGAGTCTTAGTTCTTGGAGCTCAGTACCTGAGAAGTACAGGTCACTGTGGATTCATCTCAGCAGCTGGACCATGACATCATATTTCTTATCATTTGGTAAATCAGAAATGTTGAATATGCATCCTTCTATCTCAGCTACACCCATCAGTGGATGAAACTGGTCTTGACCCTCAGTCACGTGCATCCAAATTGACACGGTAATATATATTTGCATTATGATGTCATCAGCAATCTGCAATAACACAGCAATCTGTGTTATCTGTACTGAGCTGCATTATTATTGATATCCAGCGATGTGCTAAACATGTCAGGTTAGATCATATCTGCATGTACTTTGAAACTCTCTAATCAAAGAACAACAATAAAGATAGCAGAGCTCCGTTACACTCATTCCAGTACTGATAATCGTTGGCTCTCTGTAATAGAAATATGTCATTTAGTGCATCAAATATACCTGAGGCCAGTGCCTTATGAATGTTGATGGCATTGGGTTCATGCAGGTGAATTTATTTTCATTGATAAAATGTCAAAAGATTCGTGAGGCCTGTGAAGTCAAGGGAACGTTTCTAGAACGATGTGTTGATTGTTCTGGCAACCAGAGGACAAACTATTGATTGTACGTTTTCCATACTGAAGATAACTGTAATAACTGAAAATGAAATAATATCTTCCGCCCTGTGATTGTGTGACTGCCTGGGGGACATGTTGTGCAATTCATTGGCTTTATGGTGTTTACGCTTCAAAATAGTACGAAACAGATGCCACCAATTATAGCAATAAAGATAAGCAACAGTGAGGTTGTTCTGGTGTAGAAAAGCAGAAATAAATAGTCCTTGTTCAACTTTAGGAATAGATGGAAACCTCTCAATTGAATTTAGATTGAGTTAGTTTTATAAAGAAATGTGTTCTCTGTAACCCCCTGAGTGATCTCATCAAATACATTGAAACTTTCCACTGGAATTGGCAGATTAAGTCAAAAGCGTGACTCCCTGCGACTTCTGCCAACAACACATGAACGTGAAACCACACAGGGAATCATATCCTTATCACGTTGACGTCAAAGGTCACTGCAGGTTACCTGTGGGTCCCTGTGAGTAGTTCATCAAGGCTTATTCACGCACCCATTGGCTCAGCTGTCTGCCAAAGGCGTGATTGGACGTGATGAGCTGGGTTCGAGGAATACCTTTGTGTGATATGGCCTGTCGACGCCGTCCCTTTCAACAGACCGAGAGGCATTCCTCACAGACACCGAGGCCACGGAGAGGAACGTATTCATCTGACATTCTGTTTTATTCCCGCTGGGTAGTTTCACACTAACTTCATCAGCTGCTTATTTGATGTTGGAATTATGACGGTGAACACAGACAAGGTAAGCCACATTTGTTAGCAGGTCACAGAATGCATGACCTCCATTGCACCTCTTGGGTGGTTGTTCCTGTGTCGAGGTAAAGGTCCCGGGACATGTTGCATGTGCGCGGATTGTAAAGCCCACGAGGCACATTTGTGATTTTGGGCCATACAAAATAAATGTTTTTGAACTGAATTGAGAGAAGGTTACATTTGTATTAATTCGAGGAAGATTTTCTTCATACAGTTTAAAAACAAGCAGTAGGTTTGACGCGGTGGCTACACAGCTTGTGCTTCAAGAAACCGATAATCGTCTCCACTTGAAACCCGACGCTCAGAGCAGTTCTTCGTTTCAGGTGCATGGTGGAATGGACTTTATTGACCTCCTGATCAGGAACCCGGAGGAAACCGCCGGTTGCCACAGCAACCCAGCATGTACCATCACAATTCATGAAGTGAGTGCAGCCGCAGTTCTGCACAGCTTAGTCCCGTGCACCTGGGTTGGGACGACGTGATCAGAACCACGCATCTCAATATGCAAATCTGAGTGCGATCTGTATTCTCGGCGAGGCTCAGGTGTTGTCATGATAAGGCTCACATACCCTCCGCCTCCACCTCAGGCCCTGAGCCCCGGAGGAAGTGCTGTCGTTGACTTCCTGGACGCCCTGCTGGGTGGGAGCGACTCCTCCTCTGCCTCGGCGTCCTCCATGTGGTCCCCCTGCACCACTGACAGCGGCATCAACGAGGACGCGCCCGCGGGCCCCAGAGAGAGGCTCCGCCCACCCGTCTGCTCAGCGCTTCCCGCCTTTGACACGCAGTCTTTCCCTCGACCTCAACCTCCGGAGAGCCACTCGCCGCCGTGTGAAGGAACATCTGACGTTTCAATTGATCTAGGTCAGGAAAATCATGTGAAATACTTTCACGCCAGCGGTGAAAAGATACTATCAGCTAGAGATTGTTAAGATGAGCCTTTTCACAGTTGAGGGAGAGGAAATCATTTGGTTTTCCCATTTATGAGTACAAAGGATAGAAGGTCTGATTCAACAGTTAAGGATGATCTTTTTATGGCTTTTTGGATATTGGTCCAGTTTCAGATTGATGATTGTTGACCTCTGAGTGCCAAAATACTTAAATTTGAAGGAATAATCCAAATCTGCACCAATACAAAGATGGAAAAGATTATGGAAAAGTGAGACATATATTCTGTTAAGTGTTTTGTAGAAGAACAGCTGGGTGCCGGAGTCTAACAGGTTTCATTTAAGTACGATGGGTTTTCTTTGAATGGGAAATGAGGGCACTTTGCTGCAATTTACTGGCAATCTGCAGGCTGGGAGTCCGATGACCTCCAAGAGCCTTTTGGCATCGTCCACTACCAGACTACCAGTCAAACGTCCACTCAAACTCTCACAGTGAAGGACCTGCTGCTCTCCAGTCCGGGACAGAAAGTAAGGACAGAAGACTGGATATTCCTGTCAAATGTAAATTCCCTTCAGTTGACTCTCTTTTCAAACTCTCTAACCGTCAGTGCCAATAAATACAAAGAAGTTATTCGGAATGAATAAAATATGAACTGTACATTTTTGAAGGTTACCCTTTATCTGAGAGCAAAAGCGACCCCCTTTGCTCAAAAACAAACAACTCTTACTGGATTATTCCGTCCATCTGTTTTACAGACGCAGCGAATTGCCCAGTATTCTCCAGGGGAGCTTGTCCTCAATGAGGATGAGAAGAAGCTCCTGGTTAAAGAAGGGGTGAACTTACCCAGCAAACTGCCCCTGACCAAGGTACACGGGAAAGCTGCACACTCACACGTACAGTGTGTCGGGCAGAAAGCATCCACATCGCTCCCTCCCTGTGGCACACACGTGCATACATCAGCATGTAAATGTGGATACCCGCCCCTCACTTGCTCCCTTCTCTCCTGTCCCCATGTGCCGATGTGTTTGATCACCCCGACAAGTTTGAAGAAAGGCTTTTGAAGAAGATCCGGCGGAAAATCCGCAACAAGCACTCGGCTCAAGAAAGTCGCAAGAAGAAGAGGGAATACGTTGACAGTTTGGAGGGAAGGTAGGAGCATCTCAGCATCCTCGCTCAGACAAAAAGTCCACTTTGCTATGTCATTGCTGAGGAAGCAGACTTCTTAAAAGCTTGTTCTTTGTCTACCAAGTTTTTATTTTTAAATAACTTGCATTGATAAAATAAATAAATCAAGCATAAAGCACATACAAACTAAGCAAACTAAGTATGTATGTGGTATTTCTTTAACTCTAAACCAAACTGTACCCAAAGGTAACGATTGCAGAAGTAATTCCCTTCAAAAGCTCAAAGTATTTAAATAACATATGGATCCTGTAGATTTCAACTGATATGTTTAATAATTAACATTTGAAAATAAATTTGGATCTAACACAAAAATGCAGATTTTCTTCAACCAATAATGTTTTCAATCAGGGTATTTAGATGGAATTAAATGAGTAGTATGAGAGCACGATGAGTACAGCTGGTAAACCATGCAGAGCGGTAGAGCTTTTAGGCTAAAAGCAAAACTGACCAAATAGAAACTTTAAATATCTGTGGGATATCAACATCTAATTTGAGCACAAGCTCTCTTGCCTTTGTATAGCAAAAGTTTTTATTATGATATATTATCACTTCCAGAGAGCAGAGTCATCATTCCTTGGTAAACGCCTCACCTGCAAGCAGAGCGCACCAGCGTGGTGCCATTATCAGTCACGTTTCAGCTCGGTCCTACGGCCATAATGAGCGTGACTCACAGGGAACCAGAGAAATGAGGCCCAGCCGAAGAAGGAGGGCGAGGAGGGAGGGGGGGCAGTGGATTCACTGAATGACAGAATGATAAGATAACCCTCAGCCAACGGGTATTGGCAGAGAAAGAGAGAGAAACAAAGGAGACACAAAACAACACCATAACACGGTGATATATGACACCCTTATCTCCTAATGTTCCTAACTATATTTACCCGGTGGATACGGCGGTGGGAGACAGGAGGACGATGAAGCTATCGCCCCTGATGGACAACCCCTCCCACCTCATGCAGGACACTCTGGCTGCTCTTTACAGCTCCTCCACACACCGGGGGAAGCAGCCGGAGTGTCTGCTCCCAGTCTACCCCAATACACTGTGCAATAACAGCTGTTCTCTCTTTATATACTGTATGATACTTCAGTTATTGTGCATTCTTTATTTTTTCTATAACTGTTCTTTATTGCTTATTACTTTTCTATAATACTTGTTTTGAGCTTGTTTCTTTTGTACTGTGTCTTTCTTGCACTTTACTCTACGCTGCCTTAAAAGGCTGCATGGTCATTTCCCCCCTGCAGGACTAATAAATGATTATCTTATTTGATCTAATCTCATCTCTTTCTCCTCTGTGTCTCTCTCTGTAGGATGTCTGCATGCGGAGCTCACAACCTCAAGCTGCAGAGAAAGATCCAGCAGCTGGAGGAGGCAAACCAGTGAGTCATCAAATGAGCCAACGGCCGATGCAATTGACAGTGTTTTTCATTCGTAATGGATCTTTCTTGTTGTTTTCAATTGGGTTTTTCAAGTAGAGAGCTAAACGCTCATCGGCATCCATCCATCCATCTTCAAAGCCGCTTTTAAGCCATCTCTCGCCCCAGTTAACATCGGGCGAGAGATGGGTTGCCCATCGCAATTTTTGCCAAAATGACATCTTCCAGTTCCTTGTGCAGAGGGCAGCAACTGGAAGACAGACTCAAAAACAATACATTCATACGGATTTGGAACAGATACGAACATGGCATTCTTGTTTGAATATTCTGCCATCTGTAGCTTAATAATGAGACTTTTGTTAGCTCCATGGTTTGGTTGATGGCACAGACTCGTGTGGACTTTTTATATATATATATATATATATATATATATATATATATATATATATATATATATATATATTTTATATTAAATGTCAAAGCTAAAATCTACATATGACGGTTCCATAGATAATATGCTGCTGAAAGACTGAATCTGAAACAGAACGCTTCAGGCAAACAGTCAGCAATGACATCATGGTTACATTGTTTGTATGAGTCGTGTGCCATTCTCAAGTCTTGTCCTCTCTTTTCTACATTTTTACCAATTACTATTTGTCACCATCCGTCTGATAGTGTTTATTGATCTGTAGTCCGTCCCTGGACCCCCCCTAACCAAAGGCTGACAACCCAGTTAAGACAACTTTTAAATGACTTAAAATCAGGCCTGAGGAGACTTTGAATTGAATTGAAACAAAACGGCGGCAGAGAACGTGCTCCTCTGCTTCTCCGCCACCTTTAGTTGCCCGTGAACAATGGTGCCTCGAGTAACATATTGAACAACGTCTGCCCTCCTGTCTGCGTTTGCATCGCAGTGATCTACTGGAGCAGCTGAGCCGGCTCCAGGCTCTCCTTCCTCACAGCTCCAGCAAAACAACGCACAGAGGGACCTGCCTCCTGGTGAGGGATGGAACACAACTTCACATGGGTTCACACCACTGAGGATCTTCTTAGACTGCGTAATCTGCAACAGCCGAATAATATATACAGTATAATCAGTAAATCGCTGCCTCCACGGTTCACTGCTGTGAATAACATTCAGGTTTTAATCAATAGCTGTGACGACAATTTGTGCAAAAATATGTGTAGATTATGTCAAAAATTCCACTTTCTCTTGGTCTGAAGCTGGAGTTGGTCTGAACTTCTCCTGCTTTCTTTATTCATGTCCAGATTTTGCTCCTGTCTTTCTCCCTGCTCATTTCCTCAAATCTCCTGCCGGACCCCTACAGCCAATCCATCCAGGGGGAGTACACACATACCAAAGGTGTGTAGACACAAACACACTTTCTCTTTGATAACACACACACACAAACGTACACTCACTCCTCTCCACCCCCCCTCAGTGCCGTCCCGCGCCCTGCAGTCGATGGATGAAGTGCGAGACGGCGCTCCCGTTCCTCTCCTCTCCGTCTCCAGAGGCTTTGAGGCTCTGAACATATCTCCACGTGTTAGACTTCCCTTCATCTCGCCCTCAGGATCACGGGAGAGGAAAGACGCGGCATCCAAATGAGCAATTTGGTGGCTTTTCAACACGTGCTTCTGTCTGCAGACTGAGTGAAGTGTGGAGGTCAGCGAGGAGGTCATCCAAACGCGTGTCATTGCTCGTGCTGCTTTGGAAAACAGCCTCGGGGGCCTGCAGGATGGAGACGTGTATGATCTGCTAAACAACGCAAATGTATATCTACTGCTGTATTTTACTATTTACCTTTAAAGTATATATTAAGAAAATGTTTATTAAAAAAATGTGCAGTTTGTAACACTTAGTTTCACTAGTTTGAAACGCTGACAAAGCACAAGAAAATTTAAATGCTGACTCAAGTGGTTTTTGGAAGCCCCTGAAGGGATCTGTTGCTTTCAGTAAAGCCACATGTCAATTTTAGATGAGGTTTTCATCCCAAAAATAATGAGGCAATATGTAAAAAAAAAAATATATATATATATATATATATATATATATATATATATATATATATAGCTTTATAAGCAAGAACTGCTGGGAGACTGTCAGAATAGTCAGAATACGCTTTGCTTCCACGGAAGATGTTAATTCATCAAAATTAAAAAATATTGGATTTCTATTTTGAAAAAAATATCTTTGTTATTTTTCTTTCTGGTTTGCTGCTGCTGCACATAATCATTTTCACAACATCATGTTTTCTGTCCAGAATATCCATCGCTTTCTTCATCTTCTTCATCGCCGTTCCAGACTGTAATGCATCATGATTCACCTTTTGAATAAAGTATTAGCTTGGAAATATTGAAATTTTGATCAATTGATGGCGATTGATGAAAAGTTAAGGGGTTTCCTTTACTGCTATCAGTAGTCAGTGTAAGCTTCATCCTCTAAGAACTATGAAATATGTCTGTACAAGATTTCAAGACAAACAATCCAATAGTTGTTGAGATATTTGAGCCTGACACAAAGTGGTGGACTAACTGAACACACAGGCCACAAGCAAGGCTAACAAAACAACACAATTAGATACTTCAGGTGCCTGACACCAGACCACAAGGTAAGGAGATCACATTTGAGAGGGATTCAAAATGAAAAATATACGGTTTGACAAAACCCAAACGATAATGTGAGAACGCTTATTGATCAGGCTGCTTTAAGCAGGGATTTGAGTCAGCGCGAGACTCAAGCCTTACAGATCCACTTAGAAACTGAACATCAGATAATCCATCATGTCAGAGAAGAAGTGCTGCAACCTGAACGGGAAAAAGATAATGAATTCCTGCATTCATTCTTGCAAGATGCTTTTAAGTTTAAAAGCATGTGAAATAATAACGTTTTAAATGCCCTTAAGTTATACCCTCATCTTAACAACAGACAAAAAAAGAGGCAGTGAATGCAATTACATCTCCAAGTGCTTCAGCAGAATGTCAAGTAGCAGCTTCAAAGAGATCAGTCGGACTCCAAACACTTCTGCATTTCCATTAATCTCGGTATTGATAAAACCTATAAGGAAACTGTCAAACAGATGTTTTCTTTTAAATTTGTTCCTGACGGCATGCGGAGCCAAATCAAAGAAACAAGGATGAGAATGAATTCTTAACTGTGTTGAATGAGGCTTTGAACCACCCGGTTGGGTGGCTCAAAGCCTCATTTTAGAATCATTCACGACGAGAGTGTAAAATTGGCGAACCCCATATGAAGATTTAGGAAAGGCATTTGATTAATTAGACCAAATCCTGCTGGTTCAGAAGATCCCTCCTTTTCCCTCTCACACAGCTGTCCAAATTGGTATTTAGGTGAAAACGACCTTTAGAGTTGTAAATCAGAAAGACACACACATCTCTCTCTCTTTCCCTCTCAAAGACTGAATCCAATTTATCTTCCCTCTGCATTCCTTCGGATGGGCGTCAACCATTCTTTGCCCTTTCCAGTGCAATGTCTACAAAAGGGGAATTTTGGGTAATAAACTGGCTGCATCAAAAGGGTGAATTTAACAAACAAGGAATAGCAAAAGCATGCAGATTGAAAGACAATTTAAATAAAGCAGAAAACAAGTATTTCAGGCGGCACGGTGGCGTGGTGGTTAGCACTGTCGCCTCACAGCAAGAAGGTCCTGGGTTCGATTCCGCCCAGTGACCTTTCTGTGTGGAGTCTGCATGTTCTCCCCGTGTCTGCGTGGGTTCTCTCCGGGTTCTCCGGCTTCCTCCCACAGTCCAAAGACATGCTCTGGGGATCAGGTTAATTGGGGACTTTAAATTGCCCGTAGATGTGTGAATGTGAGTGTGAATGGTTGTATGTCTCTGTGTTGCCCTGCGATTGGCTGGCGACCAATCCAGGGTGTACCCTGTCTATCGCCCTAAGTTGGCTGGGATGGACTCCAGCCCCCCCCGCGACCCTGTGCAGGATAAGCGGTTTTGACAATGGATGGATGGATGGACAAGTATTTCAGTGTTTCTGAGCTTCTGATATTCAAGAACAATCCAATTAACGAAGCCAATTCAGAACTGCTAAATCACCTTCCCCACCATGCGCACGAGCCGTGGCACCCTGGTAGTTTCTCACCGGGAGACAAAACATCTGTTAAAAGGAAACACGCAACTGGCGTCCTGCGAGTTTAAAACCAGACTTGTTGAGAGTGGCGATTAATTCCCCGCAGTGAAACTAAAGCCTCGCTTTTACGCACACGAGCAGCGCGCTGGAGGGCGACGGAGGAGCGACGCAGCCACTATAAAAGCCTCAGGACGCGACCGGTGTCACCGGGAGAAGCCGCCGACGCATCGCGGCGCACTTCAGCCCGGAGGCCGCTGAGTCCGACGCGCGTCAATCACCTTTCCTTCCCCGTGATCCATTTAAGGAACCCGCCGTTCCTTAACTGCTCGCGCACGCTCTGCTCGGCTTCGAACGATGGGGATTCGTGCATCCACAAGGGCGCGCTTTTATTTGGGAAGTTAGCCGCGAAAGGGAGTGGACACCTGCCCTAAGTTGTTACTCATCCTCCGCAGAAGCATGCAGAGCAACGCCTCCGGACACGCGTGCGGAGGAGAGGAGGACGAGGACGAACTCTCCAAACTCATCGGCGCCACAGGAGCAGCGTCTCATCTCGCGGCTCTGAACCTGTCCCTGACCTGCTGGCTCCACATCCTCTCCAAGGAGTCCTCGCTGGACCTGCACGCGGACAGCGCCAACTTGGCAGTAGGTGCAGCTCAGCCCTCAGTTAGACAGACAAAATTGAATAATGAAATGTTTTGCATGAATTGCCTAAACGTGTCAAAGGCGAGTGCTTTAAGGAAGGAAGGTGGCGTTTTCCACCCATCACTTCCACCTTGCATGTGTTCGACAGGTGCGAGTCGTCATCGCTCTGGTCTACCTGGCGGTCTGTGTTCTGGGGCTTGTGGGGTAACCTCTTGGCACTGTTCCTGCTCCGCTCCCTCAACCGGGGTCACCACCCCTCCTCCATCGACTGCTTCGTGATGAGCCTGGCGCTGACCGACCTCCAGTTTGTCCTCACCTTGCCCTTCTGGGCCGTGGACACCGCGCTGGACTTCCGCTGGCCCTTCGGCCGGGTCATGTGCAAGATCGTGAGCTCGGTCACCACCCTGAACATGTACGCCAGCGTCTTCTTCCTCACCGCCATGAGCGTGACCCGCTACCACGCCCTGGTCACCTCTCTGAAGATGGGCAGCCCTCGGGTGGCCACTGCTCGGGCCAAATGGGCCAGTTTGACCATTTGGCTGGTGTCACTGGTGGCAACGCTGCCTCACGCGTTCTACTCCACCACAGTCCAGGTTTGTCGAGTTCAGGCCCCCCCTCCTCCCTCCCCTGATTTAGAGGTGGCGTCTTTTCCGTTTTGGCTTTGAAACCTCTTGTGCAGTTGTTGTTGTTTGTGTGTTCACAGGTGTCTACAGACGACGAGCTGTGCCTGGTGCGCTTCTCCGACTCCGACTCGGGCCACTGGGATCCTCAAGTCCTGCTCGGACTCTATCAGACACAAAAGGTCCTCCTGGGATTCGTCGTCCCCTTAATCGTCATCTCCGCGTGCTACCTCCTGCTCCTGAGATTCATCCTGGGCCGGCGCGTCGTTGGCGCCGCGGCCAGCGGGAGTGACGCGGAGATGTCGGAGTACGAGAGAGGACGCCACCGCCGGCGCTCCAAAGTCACCCGCTCTGTCACCATCGTGGTTCTGTCCTTCTTCATCTGCTGGCTGCCCAACCAGGCCCTCACCCTGTGGGGGGTGCTGATCAAATTTGACTTGGTGCCCTTCAGCAAGGCCTTCTACAACACCCAGGCGTACGCCTTCCCCCTGACCGTGTGCTTGGCTCACGCAAACAGCTGCCTCAACCCGGTGCTGTACTGCCTGATCCGAAAGGAGTACCGAGCTGGACTGAAGGAGCTTCTGCTGAGAGTGTCCCGCTCCGTCCACAATGTTCTCAGTAGGGGAGGCAGGCGGGCGGAGGAAGCCCCAGCCAGCCTGGGCATGACGCACAAAGACATCCACATGTGATTCACTAAAGAGGACAGATTTTACATTGGGGTGAATGCAATTTTTTTTCTCCCTTTGAAGATAATCACCAACCTCCGTGTTTGCAGGCTGAAAAAAAATGAAGGTATGCCAGGATATGCATTCCCCAAAATAGCAAGCTTTCTCTTTCTAAAGAAAATCGTCCCTTATGAGTCAACTTTATGTGCCATGATTTATTCGGTGGCGTTCTCTAATCGTGTTCCCGTATGACAGCTTCATGCACTTTTAGTGAAACACACTGCATCTCCCTGAGGACAAGTACTTTCCTGTTAAAGATCAAACCCCCCAATGAGCAGAGCGGGATTCTTTTTACACTTCACATTCTCAAATGTCTCATTCATGCGTTTTCCCCTTTCAAAAGGGTTGACCCGCTTAATATTCACTTGTGCTGCTTTTTGCTCTCTCTAGCATGAAACTGCCGCCCGCTGTCATGTCTCCGGGTGTCCGCCCTGCTGTACCGCTGGAAATTAGTTCTGTGATTACTTGTGTGTAAAGTGACATTAAATAAAATTGAGAGGTCAAAAGTTCAGTGATGTCTCTGGAAAGTTAATCTGGTGTGCAGCCACGACACACGAGTCAAAATCCACAAAAGCTGCAACCACCATTTTTGCCCTTTTGCAACCTTTAAAGTCTGAGCATGGATAACCATCGTCAGCTGACATGCAAATAGCACACACGCTCTGCACCATAGCCCTCCCATGGTGAGCCATTTGGGAAGAGATTACCTCCCCAATCAGACACACGCATTTGTTTGCAGATCTGCTGAAAAATAAGAAAGACAGCAGGGAAATCAGCGTATTTTTTGAGCTGTGCTTTCAGAAGTCTAAAAATGGGCAAAAAGACATCACACTCAGAGGTGATAAGAATGCACAAAAGACCAGATGCATCTTTAAAAGTCAGCAAGTCAGGTGGTTCGGAAAACAGCACGATGCGCTGCCGCTGAAGAAAGGTCTATTTATATGTTGACAACATTGAAGCTCTTTTCATATGCAGGGTCTGTTTAGTTATATAATGAAATTCAGAGAAGCTGCAGTGTTCGGAGCTCAAATGGGAAATAAGAACCATCACCGCAAGTCATTTCTAAAGGGCAAAAACCAGCCAATAAGTCAAGCGCTTACACATCTGTCTTTGTAATAATGAACGTCAGGGTGAGGTTTATTCATTTAAAACATGTAATGAATTAATCTGAGTGCAGCAGTTTGTGCTGTTTGAGAGCTTCTGATTCATGTTGCTGTTAAAGAGTTTCCTTAGAGCACAGATCAGGTCGTGCTCCTTTTTAAAAAGGGCCACAAATGTCCAGAAAATTCATTTTTTTTCCAATTCACTTTTCATGCGGTCGTCATGGAGACTCACCAACAGGCAACAGTGAAAACAGTTAGTGCATTAGCACAATAATGATCACTGTAATGACCCAATCAGAGCAGCCAGTTGCTCTCTGCATGCGTTTGAACTGTTGTGAAGAGACAAAGTGCCTTAATGCAATGACGCATATTCAACAGCAGCAGTAATCGGTAATCATCTCCAAACACCTGTTGCTCACTGCAGTGTTTTTTCTTTGACATTAGTTCTTAGAAGGAAAGCGATTTGATGATCTACTCCAGTCACAAAAGAGCGAAGCACGTTTCATTTTTAGAACTAGCTAAATGTGAAAATGTGACCCTCTGCAGACGTGGCAATCATTAAGTAAATGAACGCAATCCGGTCTTCATTTCCTTTGAAACGTTTCCCATTTGCAGCTACGTTACTGTGGTTGACGGTGGCCACAATGCAGCATAGATACAGGAGTCTCACCGGGAACTTATTGTGTTTATTGCCAAAAGTCACGTATATATATAAAAAAACAGTTAGGGGACTTTTTCCCCTCAGAATACAATATTTTACTTTTCTTGAGATAAAAAAAAACATTCCTGAAACGTAGAGTGTGATTATGGTCCGTCTATAGCCACACAGCAGCAGGCGCTGTCTTTAACATCTGGATCCGTAGGGATGAGATCTAAAGTGCAACAAGCGTACACACCTTTTGTATTCATAACTGTGTGCTCCAGGTCTCCTCCTCAAGGCTGGTTCAAATAAAGCCCCTAGTCGGCCCGCGTGTTGGTACATTTACTCGATGAGGAGTCATCCTTTAGTCGTAGTTTACTTCATCAGGTGGTCAACTGTTAAGAGTTTCATATCGCTGTGCGTGGCGGCTGGATGGGGGTCGTGAGATTTGGGATTAACAGAACCACTGAGGTTATGAGAGTCTTTGCTCCAGAAGGTGCGATATGAGAACGACCTTTGTACTCGGAAGCTGATCAAACCCGGACCCTTTTGTCGTGAAGTCCGTCTTTAGACGGGTTTGAGTCGTGGAGTTCAACCTGAGGCTATTTCTCTTCTTTTAACTGGACCGGGGAGTCGGCTCTCTCCCTCTTCACCGAGGCCGTCTCCTCCTTGACGCTCCCGTCGTCCGTCAGTGCCGGCGCGTCTCTTTTCCGCTCTCCCTTCGTCGGCTCCCTTTTCACCTTCGTCTTCTTCTCTGGAACTGCACGCGGCGGTTTGGCGTCGGTGGCGGCGCCGTTGGAGCTCTCGCAGAGCGTCGGACCCTCCCACTTTGGGATGTCCAATCCCAGCAGCTCCATCAGCTGTTTCATGACGTCGTCCACGTAACTATGGATACGCAGGTGCGCATGCTTGTCCTGCAAACAGACAATTACGACAGTGAAACGGTCGACCTGGCGATGCCGGCCGGGGCACAGGAGCAGAATTTCTACACAATGTTGCCTTTGACTTGTTCATTTGCAGAGACATCTCATGCATAATGATGAGACTGACGTGTTTCGTGGGCTGCAGGTTGACGATGGCCAGTTTCCCTCCCTTGCGCTTGGTGAGGAGTGGAAGGTCTCCGCTAGGTTTGATCTGCAGGGAGGTGCCGAGCGTCAGCGCCAGGTCGGCCCGTCTGGTGTGTGTGTGGGGGGGGGAGCAGTAGACCAATAACTACTTAAATGAAGGGATTAGCTTTCAACATTTTTTGCAGTGCGAAAAACGTTGAAGTAGAGATTTACAATTCATCGAAATAGCAATCAGGCCTTTATTGATAAATCCTCATTAAATACTGTGGTGCTGAAGAGAAACCCCGGCCTTCACAACGTGTTTTACAACCTCGTTGGTTTACATCACCTCAAAAAGAACGCTTAAATAATTGGAGTGAGTACTGAAAATATTTAAAAAATAATCCCAACTTGTTTTGCTGTTGTTTAAAAAGGGGACACATCATGAAAAACAGAAACGCTGCGGCTGCGTTCGTCTCACCGGCTGGCCTCCTCCGCTCTGTTCAGGTCTTTGTCTGGAAGAGCGTCCTCCCAGTCCAGTATTGTGCTTATCAGCTTTCCTCTGTGGTAGTGAAAAAAACCGAATACTGAATACTAGTACTAGTATACTGAAAAAGTATATACTGATATTTGAAAAAGGCGGTGAAAGCATGCGGCACCTGCAGGCTCGGAGTCCTCTGGATCGAACCACGTCGCAGTGACGTCCCGTCGGTTTCAGTCCCATCACACCGATCGCTTTTTCTCTGACGTACTGCCTAAAAAAAACAAGGCTCCCACAGGTTACGTCTCCGTCCGAGCAGCTTGGCTTTGGTAACATTACAAACTACATGCTTGAATGCGCACAAACCACTGTCATAAAGACTGTTTGATAGACACAAACTGCTTTGGGCGACAGACAGTTGTCTTCAAGACTCTTTCTATCACTTAATTGCGTCATTTCGCGGCTGCAAACATGCGTTTTTCACTTCATCCCTTAAACGAATCTCCTCGGAGGAGACGTGAAGACCGCAGGTTCCTTGCGTGAAATTGAGTCACCACCATAATCCTGGAAGCCTTTTAAGATGATGAGCAACGTGTGACAGGACACATTATTGTGCTGGGCCGTTCCATTTGTTACAGAGGGTCAGCACACATCACTATATATGTATGTGTGTGTGTGTGTGTGTGTGTGTGTGTGTGTGTGTGTGTGTGTGTGTGTGTGTGTGTGTGTGTGTGTGTGTGGGCGCGCGCACATACCTGCCACACTTCTCACACTCCTCCACAAACATGTTTCCATGGAGCTCTGATAACAAATCCCTGGAAGATTAAAGAGAGTATATTTACTTTGGTAATTGCCTCCAACAGATCGTTTCGGCCGTTCTGAACATTCGGAGCACTTCTGCGTCATTTCTGCGTTGCAATTGGCTTCTTCGCTGATTTTTGACAGTTCGCTTTAAAACAGTCCGCCTGCTGCCTCAATGATTTCTTCAGAGAACAACTGTTTCGCTTCCTGCCCTCGACCAAAAAACCCTGACTGATGGGGTGGAGGGGAAGAGGGGGGCTTCCAGGGAAAACAAGCCCTCCGATGTGCATGAAGCCTGGGTTCATGTACTCAGTGAAAAGGGGGTTTCTTGGCCCTCGGTCAAATAGTCCAGAGCGACCAAACCAAGACCCAGTTCCACTACGCCCGAGCTGCACTTAAAGACCTCCGGATTTCTGGCGCTGCCACAGCTGTTATCACAAAGCAGCAGCTTCATATTTTACTAATGTATTTATCTCACACAACTTATAATATCCTCCATATATGCATATATTTGTGTGTATCCTAGAAATGAGGACAGGTGATGTATAAAGGAATTACTTGCATTAGTTCCCTTTTCCTTTAAATATATATCTCACGTCCACCTTTCACTTATTCATTCCCTCTCTCACTCTGCTTCAACTTCAGGGTTCAATTACTTTGCTGCCCCGTGTGTAAAAAAAAGTTGGGCGTAAACCAAATAGTTTGAAGCTTCAATCATAATGTTGACATTCAAATCCTAAATCAAAATATTTTGCATTTAAATGAAATCTAAATGAATCAGTGTCTGGCTGCAACGCATTTCAATAACTCCAGCGTCCAAAAGTCAACATTTATCAGAAAGACAGAAGTCATTTTCTTTCTTCTTCTTTTTTTTTATCTATGAAATGTTTTGCTTCAATCCACATTTGTTGGCATTTATTTATCACGGCACAGTGAAGGACCTTCTCTACCGTTTCCCTTGCAGACACAAAAGGAGGCTTGTACAGATAAGCTTAAACATAACAAATTAGTTTTAATAAGGATAAAATGCCAATTGGGCTTTGAGGGATTTTCACCAAACTGAAAAGTGTGAGTGTGTGTGTGTGTGTGTGCGCCTATCTCTCTTACTGAGGCAAGTCAAATGGGTTAATACGCATGATTGCATAACCCTTGAGCAGAACAATTTATGTTACATATAAAATTTGTAATAAATAGTGTTTTCTTGGCAGATTCGCTCACTCTACGCCCAAAAATAGATTGGGCGGAGAGTAAAACTACCACTGCAGATGGCGAACCGGCTGTAGAGCTGGGCCCCCTCTGTGTGTGTGTGTGTGTGTGCGCTTTCACCCCTGAGAGTGAACAAAAAAGCAAGCCAAAATTTGGGCAAATGACTCTTTTCAGAGAGACTTAGACTTCACCGTTAAGTGCTACTTGGTGCTGTGTAGTGTAGCGGTGAGATATTGCTTTGCATTCCATTTGATTTGGCTACTTAAGTGCACGTCACGCTACGGAGCGCGGCTGGTTACCTGGGGAAGCCTGATCGGACGTGCAGGCCGTCCACATTCTGGCTGATTAGATACTTGAGGCAGCCGGCCCTCTGCAGTCCCAGCAGGGCCATGTGAGTCACGCTGGGTCGGGCATCTTCGAATGTGGTGTCAAAGTGAGGCGACTCACCCTTTTCTTCTAACGTCCACACACCTTTTGGACCCCTGAGAGAGAACACAGCGATGAAGAGATGACCGGATTGTAATAGAGAGGGTGGAGTGGAGGAATGTTGCGTCTCCATTTGGTTTGGGGATAAAAGGTATTCATGGTTGAGTATCAAAAAATCGAAAGAGGAGTTTTCGCAAAGTTTGTGTACAGAATTGGCGACATGCTTTCAAATGCTGCACATTTGAGCTCAGCGGACATAGATACAAATCATCTTTATGCATCAGACGAGGGAATCCTCAAAAACAGTATCATCTCTCAACAGCAATATGAGTTATGGCTCCCAGGGACCAAGACCAGTTCAAAGGTGTAACAGCTTTCTTGGGGTGGCCTGCATGTAACTCATTACAACCATGAAAACAATGCTGCAGGACAGAAAAGTCACAGATGATCTGTGAAGCGGGTGTCTGTAAGATAAAGTTGTCAATATATTGATCCCGAGGGGCTGAATTTCAGGTGGGGTATGTGTGTGTGTGTGTGTGTGTGTGCATGGCAGCAGTGGGAATATAATTTATGTTAAGTGTGCCTGCTGTGGACATAGAAACGTTGGGTTTAGTGATATTGTTGTCAATGGTCGATTCTACCGGACTGATCAAATATCAATCAGTCGGATCTCCGTTTACAAATGTCTATTTGAATTCTCACTTGCTGACATTCGCAACAGAATAAATTCAATGGGTGCATAAAAGGTTCTCCATTCGCTGTGCTGCAACTCCGCTACTCCGGCAAAGCATTTGTTTGCACAGTATCATAGGACTTTCTTGCAATGTGATGAAAAAACAGTGAGCCAGAAGTTACAAAAATGTGTTTCATATATTTTTACAAAAGGCTGGATTTGAGAAAATAATAAACAAGTACTGCCCTCATCTGCCCATGTAGAGGAACTTCAAGAGCAGGCAGGAGGCCAAATGGAGAAATCCACATTATGTGGAAAAGAAATCAAAAAAATTAAATGTTTTAAGTTAAATTGTTTCTTTTCTCATTTCCTGGCTTAATTGACTGTGCAGTTTATTTGACGACAGTATTTGTATTGGACGCCACAAGATCAGTCACTGTCGCAATGATATAAAATCAATCATACATTTTTACATAATTCAATTTGTCAATTTACTAAAACAGATGTTACGTTCAAGAGGATGGGTTGGATGTGGAGTCTCTGGGACCTTAGTCTTTGATCCCCAAATTCGGATCAGTTTATTCTGGAGGGCAAGTGGACGATGTTTGAGCCAAATTTGAAGAAATTCATTCAATCATTAACTTCAAATTAACTATCAATCAAAAAGCCATGCAGTAGTGGCTTTTTTTGGAGCCCCACCTGAAGTCGGGGATGCCTGTTGAGGTGCTGATTCCTGCTCCAGAGTGGACAACCAAGTATTGAGACTCTTTTATCAACTGGGCGAGAGTCTCCACCTTCGTCTTCAGCTCCTCGGGACTGTCAAACACCTGCCACAGAGCAGGGAACATCTGGTTAAAACATGCTGGCTGATTCCCGCTAATATCACTTCATTTCTGAAATAATACCGAAATATCCAGCATCGAGTATTTGGGAATGACAAGGGTCGAGAAAGGATGCTTTCATTCAGTCTAAAAATGTCTAAACATGAGAGTGGTGACGTTGGCTCTTAGCAGACAATGTTTAACATAAAACAACAGAGTGCAAAAGTACGATACAGTGTTAGCTAAGTCACTAGCTCAGGTTAGAACATTGACTGCACACGAGCGAACGTTTCTAACAAACAAAAAGCAATATAAGAGTTACCTAAACGTTACTATACGTTACGAGGGCTCTCTGTTGTTGGCTAACTTTTCCGTGAATTTTCTTTCTCCGGACAACGTATCGCAGAAGCTTTGATTATCGTGAGGTAAATGCCATATCGATGTATTGCCATTTAAATGTAGTCAGATTTTTGTGTGTGTGTGTTCAATGTAACGTGCTAACGACTGGAGATGAATCATGGCTAACCTGCTAGCCGGTGAAAGGAAGCTAATAACGTTAGCTCACAGTAGATTAATTTTACCTCGGGTAGTCCACAAACCCCTTTGTCTGCGTACGGTGAGAGGCCAGCAGCATAATTCACAGACATGGTTGTTGTTGTTGTTGGTATCGTGTCTTTATTTCAGTTGTGTAGGAAGTTGTTATTGTATCACAATAAGCTGAACCATCTAGCCAGACGGGTTCTTAATTGCGTTGGTTGGTAGACGTCATCCATAAGCGACAACGAGAGCTGCGTTCAGAAAGTTAGGAAAATGCACAACTCCCCGGTAGATTGTCGAACAATGTCTTCTTTTCACGTTGCTGTAACGTCACACCTCTAAATTAGAAATACATATTAACAGCCAATATCAAAAGGCCAGTTCTTCGTTTGAGACAAAATTCCGTTTATATGTTAAATTTCATGTGGACACTGTAGATGTATTTCCCTCTAATTCATGAAGTGTCTGAAGGCCCAGTCCCATTATAAAAGTAACCAAAGCTGGCATCTTTATAAACTCTGTTTGAATATGGGAAGCTTCAGCGCGTATGGTGGAAATTTATAACAGACGAACCAAAATGTACCACATCATCAAGAAAGCATTCACTTGGAAGGTCGTCCCTTTAACTATAAAGATTTCTAAATTTCCCATCTGAAATGAATGCAGCACTGTGTCTTAACAATCATGAGAGTTACTTCTGGATTTCTTACTGAAATAACATTTAACTTGACAGATGATAGTCAAAGCTATAGAAGGCAGGCTTCAACAATTGGTCCGGTTAAAATGAAGGAACGTGCAAATCAGTCAAAGAATGATGAAATGTGTAGATTCACATTTCTGGTTTTAAAAAAAGATTTAAGACTGCATTTGTTTTCAACATCATAACATCGTCTGGAATGGTTGAGCGAGGTTGTATCATGTGTCCTGGTGTTTTGCATTATTTTAATGAGTACTTTCAGAATTGTTACTTTTTCTTGTCTTTTGTGTGTATTTATATATGATATATGTGAGTAATTGTGATTACTGTTCTTTTATGTATTTTTTTTTTTGGACCCCAGGAAGACTAGCTGTCGTCTCAGCGTCAGCTAATGGGGATCCTTTTAAATAAACAAATAAATAAAACATTTCAAACCTGTCAAAGAGTGACACAATTCATACAAGTGACGGAAATATTGTGATGCAGTACATTATGGTTTGTATGCAGCAATTAATCCTTAAAGGTAAAGCTTATGTACAGATGTATAAAAGCCCTTAAAAAAATAGACAGCTTTACTAAAAGCAGAGGTCAATATATTATATACCATTTAGATAGACAATATTGAGAGTGAAACCAATCCAGGCAATGAAAAAAGTTTTTTCCCAATAAATCTTTATTTTTCAGTTTAAATAGCCGAAAATAAAAAAAGAAACACAGCTGAATAAAACAATACAGCATTCATACATGGAGCTACGTGTGCATATCAGTTATGGTTCCTATTGAAGCTGTAAACCAACTCTGAAGACCACCTAAAAGAGTAAACTAGTTGCTTGTGTTAATTGTTTTGTCGTAAGCAATTCATTATCCTGAGAAATTCAGTATGAAGTCCTAATTTGAGTTAATTAAACAATCAATATTGCTTATGCAAAAATACACATGCACTCTAAAATTATATCAAAACCTGTCTAATCTCTGCTGAAACAAAAAATATAAATGAAAACGGAACATGACGGCTTTCTTTTCTTTCATTTCAGGGGCAAAAAAAAAGTGACAATTCTGACCGATACCGCAACAACACTTTTTGACAGACATTTTTCCTATAGAAGCCTTTTTCTGCCAATCAAACCAAATCTCATCACGTAAATCATTCCATGCAAAAGATTGCAGAAATAACGTCAAACCAAAGAAAGAGACTAGAACAACAAAGCCTGCAGGAGAGCAACCAAAGACCAGAACACAGCCGTCAGTTTGGGCTTTCTTTCACACTGCCTTGCGTCTTTGGCTCCGTCAAGCCTCTCAAGAGAGCAAACATGAGAAGAAATACAATTCTGATCAGTAATTAGTTGTGCCCCCCTGAATAACTATTAATTCTGAGCTACTTCAAAACACCATAACCCCACACTCAGGATGACACAGAAACACATCAAACAGTAACCAGAAGAAAAACAGCAAATAAATCAATTTCTTGTTACCAAAACAGTTCAGATGAGGATTTGACCGAGTGACGCAGCTGGCCAGCTGGTCGTCCAAATACAAAGTTCTCTGGCATCTCGGTCATCATCAGTCCCTCTTCTCCCCCAGCTGAAAAAGCATCCAGAGGGGGGCTAAACGGTCCATCGGTAAAAGGGCCAAAAAGCTTCCGATCACATTTCGGCATGCACAAGAACTTTAAGGACGTTGTGACATCCCGTCATATCGAAGCCCAACAGATCGTAAAATTTGAAAATGTGTGATTCGGCGGATTTGCAATAGGGTGTTCAGGACGGACGCAGGGTGCTTGAAGCCCTCAGACGGCCGTCAGTCACTGAGACGGACTACTGGTGAGCGGGCACCCGCGATTACGGGAAATAAAGATGGTCGAGAGGGATGCTGAGTGGAGTCTGGAAGCGTTTGCACCAGTGCAAATGTGGCGATTGTTCAAAGTGGTATTAACCCCACCATATACTGCACAGTAGGCAGGACAGCTGAATAGGGTCAAGTAATATTCTCTGAAAGTAAGGTAATGGGTGATAATGGAAATGATGATGTCTGTAAAATTGAGGAAACTGGTAACTTTTTGTGCTGGTGCAAATTTTACTAGGTCTAACCCCTCTACAGCAGTGCATCGATGTTTAGCATCTGGAAGTATTTCAGAGAACCTCTTTTCATTGGTTTAGAGAAGTGGGAAGCTTCGAATCTTTCTTGGGTGTCGACCAAGATTTCCTAGCAACCCAGACAGAAAAAAAACACGGGTAGCAGTACGCCAGCTACGGGCGGGATGCAGTCAAACGGCAGGTCATGACTCCTCGTTACCCGAGTCGTCTTCGGCGTAGCAGCAGTCGCCGTCCTCCCCGTCCACGTCGTCGTCGTCATAGTAATAGTCATAGAAGAGGTCGGAGCCTTCGTCGGGGGCCGGGGCGCGCGTGCGGATGCAGTACTCGGCCAGCGTGGTGGGCACCCGCACGCCATCGCGTTCGGCTTCCGCCTTGGTGGCCGATACCTGTTTTCTGGGGGGAGATAGTAGAGAACACAGAGGGGGCTTTAAAATGAGAGTCCACTCTTGTAAGCACTCTTTTGTGGGTCACAATCGTTAGCCGCCGTTTACCTGATGATCTCCACGTATTCGCGGTCCTTGCCCTTGCTGTCCCTCCACTTGCGGTACATGACAGAGGCGTCCACATTGGCTGGGGAGAAGGTGTTGGGTTCGTTCAGCAGCGAGATCACACTCAGCAAAATCGTCCTGGATGGGAACACAAAACGGCGAGTGACATGTGTTTAATCTCAAGAAATAATAAAGATAGAAATGATAATTATATAAAATGAAAACACAGCAATAGGATATAAACATGTGAAATGTGTATTTGATTTTGAACATAACTGACCCTCCTCGTTATGTTAGATTATTATTACTATTAGAGAGTAAGACCTGTACTAGAACTCTGACATTTATTATACCTCTACCAAGCTCATCGGTGACTGTTATTATTTGTTATTTTACTCGGTCACTTTAAATATATGTTTATTATTGAGGTTAATTATAATTAGTTAGTTAGTTCCCTCGAGGAAAATTATAATCACCACATGTGTGACTCATTCACAAAGATACTACAAATTATTAATTTGATTCCCACTTATTTCTACGTTGACTCATAAAAGAAACTGAAAATATTCTTGATCATTTGGGTCACATATAAATGTAAACTAATACCCTTCCACACACTATGAGTTGCTCGATAGCTACAACAAAAACAAAAAAACAAAAAGATGGATCCCATTTTGTTTGTTGTGACTGAATACGACTTAGTGGTTTTAGTTCAGTGGAGCTTTTATTTTTAGCCGTGATGTTGAATTTCCTTCGTGGCCCTTAATAAATTATGGTTTGATAAATTATTTGGAAGTGAACTGAGCTCTGAGACAAATCCACCATGAGGCCATTTTGTTTTAAGGAAACCGTTGAAAGATCATTTGAACTACTTGGTAATACCTACACATTTATACAAATACTGCGCAACTAACCCACATGCAAAAAGGTAATTATGGTGGCCGTGGGAGTCTGAAGGGACTCTCGCTAAAGATAAATGCCATGTGATGTTATGAGGCAGGTCAAACATTGAGGTGGTCGGGTGAAGACAAAGATGGGAGGCACCCAGAAAAGGAGATACGTAAGAGCGCTAACCGGACATTCTGGGTGGGATTCCACCTCTCTGAAGGCAGCTCTCCACTCTGCGGGTCGTCCACTGGAGGGTGCAATATGGAGATACACACATCCCCGTTCTAAAAAACAGGAGAAAAAAAAGAGCCCCCCCCCCCCCCTTTCATTATGCGGTGCCTCTTATAAAACACGCAAAAGGCGTGGAATGAAATCTAATGGTGAGGATGCGTTTACCTCATAGATGTTGGGGTGCCACATCTTGGTGAGGAAGCGGAAGGCCGGTGGGGAGTATGGGTAGTCTATGGGGAACTTGATCCGAGCCTGGGACACAACAACAGCTCATCACATCACTACAACACACACATTTTACTGAGAGACTGGATCGTCATATATAAGATTTTTTTTAAATGAAATTCTACAATCATGCACAGTGTTTGTACGTTTTAAAGCCACTCCAGTGGACCATTGAAGTTGTATTCTTACCTTAAAATACCCTCCTTCGTAATGAGTGTTTGGGGGCCCGAAAATGGCCACTTCCCAGTTGTACATGTCGGCCTCGTCCACCAGTGTGATTTTGAAGCCCTCGACGGGCTCCTCCTGGAGGCTCTTCATCTCCAGCATGAGGGCTTTCTGCGAGCTGGCTACGGGACCCTGGCTGTGTTGCGCCATGCTCAACCAGGAGGCCTCGGCGGGGATCTGGTGGACAGCTGACCGGTTTGTTTACACTCACACGGCCCTCGCGAGCCAAACAACCCGCTGACACTGGAAAAAATAACCCCACTTGCCTGTTGTTGTTTCGGAGACAATGAAACAGGCCGAACCAGACGGGATGCGTAGAAGTCAGGACAAAGGTTGCGTGGATTTTTTATTTATTTTTACCCGAATCAGCTGAATTATTTACCAGTCTGATCAATACTTTGAAATCGGTGACCCGACCGAACCATCGTGGCCGACAAGCGCCCCCGAGCTTTAGTTGATCTACCTGGCAGCCTCGGGTATAAGCCGTAAATCTACTGGTAGCGGCTGGCTAATGTAAACTAGCTCTGCCTCCCCGGACCAGCTGAAGACGAGTTTACCTCAACGAGGAGAGTTTATAACTGCGGAGAAGAGAAGAAAACACGACTGCAGGTCCCAAATAACTGCGAGCAAACCGAGTGGGAAATGTTGTTAGTGAGGCCCGAAACAGAAGACTGGGCAAAGAAGAATGTTGCTGAACCGAGTCCCCCTCTCATTTCAACAGAGGCGACGGCGCGCGGTGCTTTCTGGGACTCGTAGTCCACGCTTCTTCTGTAAACGTGACTTTCAACCGTACTGGCGAAACAAAGTTCACACAATGGTTTATAACTTCACTTGTTTATATGGGGGGGGAAATGGGACCATGGAAAATATTGTTGAGACGTCACCTTTATTATGAAGTATGTTTAAAAGTTGGATGGAGAAGACTACGTTTGTCTGACGTCACATAAATGCGAATGTTGTTTGTGTTTCTGAAAATCAGCCGTGACCTAATTTCCTTCGCACGTTATTTAAAAAAAAACATGTTTCTATGACGTTGAATTGATTGTAGATACCCCGTTTACCACACATACTGCAACTTATCCAATCGTATGTGTAATATTTTGTTTTCTCAATCTTTACTTATGACGTCTAAAATATGTGCCATTTGGTAGAAAGCCCCTTTAAAGTGGCTTCCTACTGCCTGTCTGACAATGCTTTTTAAAACTAGACAGTCCACCTCTACCCTGTTTTCATACAGGTAAGAAATGGGTGTATACTCACTTTATTTAAGTTGTCTTTAAAAAAAAACCTGATATACCCTACACGGTGTAAATATAGCAACCCGGTTTCTTTGTTACCTCTTATTTACGCGACTGAGTTCACGTAGGACCCCTCATTGACGGAACTTTCGTGATGGAGTCCAGATCACGACGTCGGTCCCGCTCTAAGTCCAGAAGTCGCAGTCGGGATCGGCGAAACCGATCCAGAATAAGCAGGTCTCGATCTCCGGAGACAAGGAGACGCCGCAGTCCGTCTTTCGATCCGAAAAGAACCGCCCGCGGACGGGGGCGGTCCGGCAGCGGGAACTCCAGCGTTGGCTCTCCAGACCGACGTCGGCCCCAACACAGGGGGGACCGGCCGGGTTCCAGGAGCGACTCGGAGAGCGACAGGAGGCGAGGAGCGCTCCGGCCCGGCAGCAGGTCCAGGGCCCGATCATCGAGGTGAATGGCTGCGGGCTGGTGCTGGTTCGTCGGTGTGGATGTTTAACGCGTAGAAACCTCAATAGTATCAAAACAGCGTAACTATTTAAAATAATCAAACATAAGAGACTGGCGTATTAAACACGTCCTGTCGATCAAGTGTACTGGTTCGCAGAGTCCAATTTAACGTTACCTTTGAAAACCCTGTGGATCTTTATAACGGACTCCAGACTGATGCACCATAATACCGATTATTACGTTGCTCTTGAATGTAGGCGATGATCTAGCATAACACATACATATTTATGTAAACAAAAATACTTGTACTCTTGTAAATATTAACCGTTTTATAAATTCCCTAAGCAGTTGTTGGGCATCTGTACCCAAGAATTAGGGTTAACTAATCTCAAAATGATTCTGCCGCAAACTCTGTTATTCAAGACTCAAGGATACATTTACTCATTTAGTTTCCATCCAGGAGTAAAAATGTACTAAAACCACTTTTCTCTCTCAGTTCGGATTCATGTGATCCCAACGTGAGGAGGCAGGGAAAGGAGATGAAGAACCGGAGAGGAAAATCTCTAGAGCGAAGGAGGGCACGGTCCCAGTCCAGCTCTGACTCCCACGACGAAGGCAGCAACATAGAAAGGAGAAGGCAGAGAAGCCCAGACCGGGGGAGTCCAACCAGAAATAGGCAGAGGAGGGAGCCGGACAGAGACAGAGGCAGAGAGAGGCGGGAGAGCAACACCAAAGACAGGGACAGAAAAGGAGACGGTGACAAAAGCCTGGAGCGCAGGAAGAGGAGTGAAGAGAGGGAGCAAGGGAGGAGCGAGAGAGGCCGAGAGCTGGCCGACAGAGGCCGGCAGCGCTCCAGTTCCCCCGATTCGTCTGATAGCTCAGAGTCTGATCACGGTGGCCGTGTAGTCAAAGAAAAGGAGGACAAGAAAAATCAGAGGGAGATGCTGAAGGCGCTGGAGACGCCAGAGGAGAAGAGGTCCAGGAGACTGGCAAAGAAGGAGGCGAAGGAGAAGAAAAGGAGAGAAAAGATGGGCTGGAGTGAGGAGTACATGGGTTACACCAATGCAGACAATCCCTTTGGAGACAACAACTTATTGGGCACATTCAAATGGCAGAAGGTGAGTTGGGGAGGGGTCTCCAACAACAACATTTGTTTTTTCATCCCCAAAGTTCTTATTGTACTGTATTCACGAATATGGTCATGTGTGCATTTTTCAGGCGTTGGACAAGAAAGGTATCGGCCATCTGGGAGAGAAAGAGCTCAAAGACCGAAACAAATGCATTCAGGAGGAGAATCGCAGAGAGCTGCAGAAGGTACGAGCCGCATGTCGCGGCGGTGCGATGTAACCGTTACAAGCCACGGAACCCTTCCATTAACCGCGCTAATGTTGTGCATGTAGGTGAAACAGCTGCGTCTGGAGCGGGAGCGGGAGAAGGCCATGAGGGAGACGGAGCTGGAGATGCTCCAGAGGGAGAAGGAGGCCGAGCATTTCAAGACCTGGGCTGAGCAGGAGGACAACTTCCATCTGCATCAGGCCAAACTGAGGTAACCGCGGCTGTACGTCCTCTTCTCACGCCCCACTGCTGCTCCTCCTCGATAAACCCCAGCGCCATGCTGACTCGGCGGTGTTGCGCGTATTGTGTGTCCAGGTCGAAGATCCGAATCCGCGACGGTCGCGCCAAGCCCATCGACTTATTGGCCAAGTACATCAGCGCAGAAGACGACGATCTCGCCGTGGAGATGCACGAGCCGTATACCTTCCTCAACGGGCTAACGGTCACCGACATGGACGACCTGCTGGAGGACATTAAGGTACAAGGTTGCGTGTGCGTTGAAGGGGGAACGGCCCTCTAAACACCGCTTATCCCGCGTAGCGCTTTTTTACTAGGGAGATGCAGCCACAAGCAGAAGTGCACTTCTGATTGCAGCCTCCTTTTACTAAAAATGTCCAGTTAACTCACATTAAAGTGTCATTTTCCAATGAACACAATTTACGATTGTGATTAGTGTTGGACCTCCTGCTGTAATCCCCTCAATGTGAGGCACCACCACTTGAGATATGAAACATCATTTTATGCAGAATTTGATTACAGCACCATTGAAATGATATTGAAGGTACATTCAATTATTAATATAAGTCGAGGCATGCTGTCCCCGGGTTACATCGGTACGCAGTGTATCAAGTGTAGACTAAAAGGTGTGTCAACGGAGCGCTGCTGTGCTGACAGGTGTACATGGAGTTGGAGCAGGGGAAGAACGTGGACTTCTGGAGAGACATGACCACCATCACCGAGGACGAGATCAGCAAACTGAGAAAACTGGAGGCTTCTGGGAAAGGACCGGGTACGTCGTTTGGCCCGCGTCGTTTTTAACACATTAGTGCTCCTGTGAACTTGGTCGACCTCATCGCATCTTCTCTGGAATCTCAGGTGATCGCCGTGAGGGCATCAACACTGCTGTGACCATCGATGTGCAGACGGTGTTCAAGGGGAAGACGTACAGCCAGCTGCAGGCGCTGCACCTGAACATCGAGACGAAGATTCGGGCTGGAGGATCCAATCTCGATGTCGGCTACTGGGAGAGTCTGCTGCAGCAAGTCAGAGTCTACATGTCCAGGGCGAGGTACCAATGTGGGGGAACCCTTACTGTGTTTATGTCCTTTTTAACCAGCTGGCTGAGACGGTCAACTCTCAGCTTATAGACGAAGGAGAAGTGTCTGTGTGTAAAACTACAATTTTCTATCCCAGGCTGAGGGAGAGGCATCAAGATGTGTTGCGGCAGAAGCTGTTCAAGCTGAAACAGGAACAAGGGGTGGAAAGTGAACCTTTGTTCCCCATCATCAAAGAGGAGCTGAGGAGTGAGGATGACGAGTAAGTCCCATTGAAACAAAACGATACACATCCTGAAATCTGGGTGGGTGTCCGGGGACAGTGACCTGAGGTCCAACCGTGACAATGTGTCCATTTTCACTTCTGTGTTTAAAAAAATAAAAAAGGGAGACCAAAGCAGAGGAGCCTGGCCAATCGTCATCGCCCGCCACAAGAGACAAGAACCGAGAGACGGAAGGGGACGACGAGGGGGCGGGCCCATCGACGTCCGCGGAGGGAGACGCCGACGGAGGAGACAAGAAGAATGAAGAGAAAGAGGGCGAGGTGGTGGAGGCCGTGCTGACGGAGGAGGATTTGATCCAGCAGAGTCAGGCGGAGTACGACTCCGGCCGCTACAGCCCCACGCTGCTCACCACCTCCGAGCTGCCGCTGGACACCCACACCACCACCCCGGAGGAGGACGAGACCAGACTGCAGCTAGCTCGCACACAGCTACAGGTCACAGGTAAAATGAATCACGTCACCAGCTGGGAGGAGAAAGTGAAAGTAAAGCCTTTTATAACCATGGGTTTTGGCTGGGTGGTATAGCTACAGCATGTATTGTCCCCCTCCTCACCCACCCGTTGCTTCTTTGACCTCTCTTATCAGGAGACGCCAGCGAGAGCGCTGAGGACGCCTTCATCCGCCGCGCCAAACAGGGCATGGGCAACGACGAGGCGCAGTTCAGCGTGGAGCTGCCGATCACCGGGAAGATGTACCTGTGGGCGGACAAGTACCGGCCCCGGAAGCCCCGCTTCTTCAACAGGGTCCACACGGGCTTCGAGTGGAACAAATACAACCAGACCCATTACGACTTCGACAACCCGCCGCCCAAGATCGTCCAGGGTTACAAGTTCAACATCTTCTACCCGGACCTGATCGACAAGCGCTCCACGCCGCAGTACTTCCTCGAGCCCAGTCCCGACAACAAGGACTTTGGGACCTTGCGGTTCCACGCGGGCCCGCCGTACGAGGACATCGCCTTCAAGATCGTGAACAGGGAGTGGGAGTACTCGCACCGACACGGCTTCCGCTGCCAGTTCTCCAATGGTATCTTCCAGCTGTGGTTCCACTTCAAGAGGTACCGCTACAGGAGATAGAGGCCACGGACCAGCAGGGACCAGAGCCCCAGTCTGCAGGGTGTTCACCATGCTTTCTATATTATGTGGTTTTTACAGTCAACGTACTTAGTTTTATGGTTTTTAGCTGCTCCAACACCGAAAAGCAGCTGGTTAAAGCTACAAATTATTCTGTACTGTTGTCTGAAAAAGTACTTTGTATGGTTGTCAGAAATTCGACATTAAAGTTTTTTCCCCTTTTTACTCTTTGTACGTTTCTTCTGGTTAAGAGTTTTGTTGTGAACACGTGCAATGGAAAAGGACAACTTTTAAAACACATCTGTAACACCAAACTACAAAGATGATTCCTGCAGGTATCTCCATCTGCTCTCCACATATCTGGTGTCATTTTAAAACCAATAAACCTGGTTGGCTATATTTAGATCCACTGAAACAACTCAAGGAACAGGTAGAAAAAGTTTAATACAATAACACAACATCTTGACAGCTAGTGGTTAGAAAGGAATGGCTCAATCTCAGCTATTTTCCATAAGTATCTTCAATTTAGATTGAAGATGCATCATTTCAATGGGACTTAACAATTATTAGAACGCTAAAACACTCCTGGGGGAGAATCCTCTTTTCCAATCTGATTCAATAGGAGTCAAAAGGTTCAGCTGCTCAGAATGTTCTAAACTTTTCACACAAACAGAGCTGAAATTATAAATCCGAAAGATCTGCCCAAAAACAGTTTGGCTCATTGACGTTCATTTCTCAAAAGCTGTGAGGGAAACCGAATGGAGTAAAGCTGCTCGTCCCGGTCAAATTTCGGACTCGTCGTCAATAAACTGGAGAGGCGGGAGAAGAGCGTTGGGGCCACCGCTCTCCTCGGCACGGTGGTTGCCGCGGCCGTTGTCTGCTCCGGCCACCAGAGGCTTGCCCTCCGCCGGTGCCGACCTGGCTGCGTCCTGGCTCTCCGGGGACTGTTCTATGTTCTTCTTCATGCAGTTCCAGGGCAGCGGAAGGTGGCCGTTGTAAAAGTTCCAAGCCAAAAGGGCAAGAAGAGACACTAGCAGGAGCGCAACTGCAGCCTGCAGCCCGGCCACGGAGGGGCCGTCCACCCGAGCCTCCAGAAGAGTCGTCCTGTCGTTGGACCCAGCTGGATCGGCCACGCTGACCCGGTAATCGGCCAAGGTGGTCTTGTACACTGCGGCTTTGGAGCGCTCCTCGGACAGGCAGCGGTACCGGCCGCCTTCGGAGTTGGTGGCGTTGAGAATGAGGAGTCCGTCCTCCAGAATCTGGAGGCGAGTGGACGGAGTCAAAGCGTCGTCATCCCGCTCCCAAGTGGTTTTTGCCAGGTTGGACGGCGACGGGCAACGCAGCTTCAGGTTCCCCTGAGACAAGACGGACAGATTCGTAGGATTCACGGCGCCTGAAAACAACAGAACATTTTAGTTTTCTTTAATCCGTAACATGTTTGAGGAGTCAGAACAAAGTACTCTTATGGGATTCTTCTCCGTGGGATAGTGTGCACCAACGCACCAGCATTCGGGCAGAGAGAAGCATCTCCAGCTTTCACACTTTGGATTAGTCCTCTAAAACAAAAAAGAAAAAAAATTCAAATTCGGTTTGGATAAAACCGTTATCAGCGCTTGCTCTCGGGACAGCCGCCTACCTTGTGGAATCAGAAAGGAAAACACATTCCCTGACCACTGTGTCCCAGCCGCAGTATGGGTCTCTGGCCAGGACACAGTCCATGCAGGATGAGGACCTCCCGCAGGTGGCCAGTGGCATCTGTGCTGCTCCGCTGTCGGAGCCCGCGTACAGCTGACCCTGCGCACAGAGGATCCATCACACGTGGGTGCTTTGCCGCACTATGCGATGAGCGGACACATTTTGAATTGGGGTTTGAAAGTAATCACGCTATCGTTAATGCTACGACGGGGTCTTACTGTGACATTGGAGAATTTCAAAATCTTGATTGGCTCCGGGGGCTCGAAGAGTTGCACTTCCTCGATGATGAACATCTCCCCGTCGTGATTTGCTGCTTTCACTATCGTGCCTCCCTCTTCAAATGGAAAAACAGACGTGTGCTTTTTTTACGCCTACCACCGCAGAGTCATGAAAAGCATCAAGGGCAAATACGTGGAGGAAGTAGCCGGCCGCTGGTACACCAACCTGTGCCTATGAACATCACGCTGTACTGCGCTCCATCTGCCGCCTGCACTTGGTTGACTACGATGCGTGTGAATGGAGCTCCCCTTCGCATCAGAAGAGGCTTCCCTCCTATTGGCTGGATAGCTTGGTCCATGAGGGGCCTATCTTTGATAAACTGAAGGGTCCGGTCTGGGAGGTCCAGGGTGCGAGTTATGCCTTCTTTACGAGCCACATTGTCTATACACTGGCAGGGGAGGAAGGAAAGGAAAGAGTCAGGGTACAAAAGGAATGAGTTTCCTGCTTGAAAACTCGTGAACCCATTAGAAGAAAAAAAAACAGTTGCCTTTTACCTTTGTTTTTTAACACAACCACACACACATTAAAAAAAGGGCAGACTCACAGATCCGGGCCGGGGGACGGGGACATGTCCGCTGTACATCACCCACTTAACAAAAGAGGTTTCTACGGGGACCGGGGTCTTATACTTCCCCTCCGCAAACACTCTGCTGATGTCAGACACGCGGTACGCACACACTGCAGACAGGTCCGTCGTTTCCCTGAAACACACAGAAAGCGTGAGCCAAGTGTTGAGCCAAAAGGCCGTTAGAGAGAAAAAGAGACCCTGCTCCTTCAGACACGTTTCGTCAATTCAAAAAACGCACGACTGCGGCGTGAAGACGGCGTAGAACAAACAGTCCTTCCACTGCCGCCGAGGGTCACACAGACGGTAAGCGTCCTGGATAAGGTACGGCAGCTGAGACTCCAGCCCGGGACAGTCCATCCTGGCCTTCAGGAAGGACGTCCATTTCTTCTGCAGGGTCCTCTGACCTCCGAGATCGCCCTGTGAGCGCAGGGAGACAAACGTCGGGATGCACTATCACGTGTCGGAAAGGGGAAGTACTGTCTACGCTCTGGGGAAACGGAGACAAATAAAGGGAAAGAAGTCTTCCTCACCTTACAGACACGGGCCACGCGGGAAACCACCAGTTTGTTGTAGCAGTCGCACTCCACAGCTGTCTCACTGAAGAACAGGTAGACCTTGTCGTCATCCCCATCCTCGCTCATGAAGCTCTCTGGCATCTGGGCCATGGAAACAAAGTTGGGCTCTGCCACAGAGAGAGAGGGAGAAAACATCAAGTTTGACGAAAATATCACTGTGGCATCTTGCACATGGAGAACACAGCTGTTGCTCACCGTGGAGCCAGGAGCTCTTGAACTCGGTGCGTACGGAGGTGTGAGAGCTGCGCATCAGGACGGGTTCAGAGCCCAGAAAGTTTATTGAAGTGGCCGAGTACAGGTCGTTTTCTGGAGAGACACGGCGGGGGATTGAGATCGCCTGCTGCTCTTCTCAGATGCGGTAGCCGTCGTACGATTGCCACTCACCAACCATGATGGACGCGTATCTCTGGAAAGGATCGAAAGGACACTTCCCTTTGCCGTCCTCTCTTTTCTTCTCGAGGGTCAGCGTTCCATCTGCGTAGGACTTCGAAGACAAATAGAGTGGTCTTGCAGTTATTTCTACACACGCTATGACTTGGACGTAATCAGCTACACACCATTAATTTACAAAGTGTGGAATATGTAGTGAGCTGAGGGAGCGACTCAGCTTTGAATTTGTCTCACCATGTAATCACACTCGGGATCAAAAGCATTGGTTCCACACACATAGATCCTCTTATCCTCCGTCTGATGCAGGATCCTGATGTAGTTCTTGCACTCAGTCTGTAAATGCATTTGAAAAGGAATGACTACATCTACTCAACATGCAATATGCTTTCAGTAGCAAAAGTCCAAAAGGGGCTCACCTTGGGATCTTTGCCTTTGTTTTGACAGTCACGTTTTTGTTTTTCGGTCACTTCCCATTTAACCTAAAAAGAGTAGAAAAACAAATGAACTTAGTTGAACTGTTTCTGTTTTCCATGTTAAAGCAAACCATGCCTTTATTTGATGGGTGACAGTGTAGAGACAGAGACAGGACACGTTCGGGGGGGCAGCAGGGACAGACATGACATGCCACAAAGCCACACTTACAATCATGTATACACTATATAAATGGAAAGAATACAGTTGTCAGGTAACAGTGCAACAAGCAGCTAACCTGCCCTCCCAAATGCAACTGCAGTGCTGGTTTAACAGCACGAGTCAGCAAACAACTAAACAAAGGTTTCAGTATGTTTTGTGACTTTGTAAAAAGGTCTAAAAACATCTGCAGGCTTGCAGGTGGATGTGATCTTAAACATTGTCAGATTTTAGTGTACTGCGTTCAGAAGTGGCCGTAAGTGCATCGTTAACAACGCTCCTACCAAAGAAAGCTTCTTGGAGATGTTTCTGAGGTCCAGAGCATACACGGCCTCCCTGGCCCCCAGCAGCAGCAGGTCCACATCTTCTCTCAGCAGCATGGTGGAGTAGTTGAACACTCCCTCCTCATGGAACAGGTGGCAATTATCCTCTAAACACAGGAGAACAAAAAAAATCTCATCTTGAAGGCTTCCCTCTCCGGCTCTGAACATACACACACTAATACAGGGAGGTCTGGACAAGATCTTGAACTGGTCTTCAAATACCAAAGAGTGTTGTTAATCTTACTGCGAGTCACTATCTTGGCACTTAGAACATCAACTTAAAACATAAAACACCATGAGCTCTTGTGAGATTATCTGGACGCTGACGCACAAATCATCTTGACCATTGGTTGACCCGGAACACAAGGTTTCTTTGTGAGCGAGAGCACAGACTCTTTGTCCAGTAAAGGATTATTGACTGAGACAAAACGTTCATTAACACTCACTATGGTAGGGCACAGATCTGCGGGGGACGGCCAGACGGGAGTCTTTCTCCAGCGTCCAAGCCAAGGGCAGCAGCCAAAAGACGCAGAGGGGAAGCAGCGGATGCATGGCTCTATTGTTCAAACCGAGAGGAACTTTATTATTCCCTCCGCAGTTACTCATAGAGGGGCGAAGACGAGCGAGCGGCATCTATGACGTGACGAGGTCCGCTCCGAGTGAAGGGCACGGGCCCCTTTAGTGGCCCCGCTCAGCGGGCAGTCCATGACGACGCGGATGGCGCAGACCAAAGGAACGAAGCGGAGGAGGGCTGAAAGACACAACACCACAATCGGATCACCTGACGGAAAAGAGACAAAATATGTGTTGAGCAAAATGAAAAAATTCAGAGTAGATAAGAAAACAGCCTGTGAAGAGAAACGTTGAAAACAAAAAGGGGGGAAGAGAATGAACGAAGAGAACAGAGGAACAGCCAGAGGAGGGCAGAGGGGGCCGAAGTCGGCGCGGCAGTAATTCTGTCAGTGCCATAGTGATGTTAATGCAGGGCTATGAAAGGCATTCAGCAGGGTGCTGGCCACGACAACCCCAGCTCTCCTGCAGCACCAAACACAGGCGCACAATGAGGGATTCACCGAGAGGACGGACTTAACCTTCCTCTTGTGTTCGCTTTCTGTCACCATCTCTTATGCTAAACAATGTCTCAAATCAAATGTAAAATACACTAAAAAAACAGTATCATCCGATTTTTGGGGCTAACTTGTTAGGCTTCCGTATCCATTTTTGGTGTGGGCCTTTTTCTTTATCAGTTGACTCTGTAAGTCACTGAATGGACCTCACATGCACCGGTGTTGGTTTTGTTTTTGTGCAGGTAGATAACAAGACATGATTGTGGGGGGGCGGCGCGCTGGCTGACAGTGAACTTGTGCTTTTGGATTCCGCTCTAATGAGGAAAGAGCTCTTGCAGAAGTTCTGTCGCAAGCGCCGTTTCTCGCAAACACTCACACACTCTTAGACGGGAAACATGTTGGTTTCTCATCTTTACCACATGAAAAGTCCACCAACAGAGCAACAATCTGCCGGATTGGTTCTCCTGTAATGACACAACCGGCTGTACTTCTCGGTGGTTCTGTGCAGCAGTGGGTGTGTGCGCGTGGTGCCTTCGGCTGATGCGCTGCGGCACGTCAGAGAATGCATCGCCGAAAGGATGTTTCACATACTTGGACGTGTAACGCGCGCGCGCACACACACACACACACACACACACACACACACACCAGAAAAGAGAAGAGAAACGCAAACAGGCGATTCGTCTGTGGCTCATTAAAAGGTAAAACGTTTTTTAGGTCAGCTTCACTAATTAGACGTAACCAGCTTCCAGCTCAAAGCCGACACGCACTTGCGCGCGCACTCATGAAGTGAACGAAGTCACGCGGTTAAAACAGTCAAAGCGGACCACTTACCTGCGCACTGACACGCCCAAGAAAAAAAATCACTCCACCTGTTTAGACGCAAACTTTCTGACTCCTTAATTAGCCAACAGGTCTGTAGTAAAAGTATCTCCCGACGTCCACCAACGGCCGACTGGTGCCCTCGCGCAGGCTGCTGACGCCGAACGTGCGCCGAGCGGCAGTGAGTCCGCCACACCTTCAAGGTTGTAAACCGCCCCCCCGAGGAAAGGTGCGGCGGCAGGTTGACTTCCCTCAACCTCGGAGCTGCTGATAAAGTCTTATATGTCTCGCTACGTCTCCTCCGCCGGCTCCTCTCGCGTTACCGTGGAGACACTCGCGGCGCGCGGGGAGCACCGGGTGGCTGGCAGCTGCTGTTCCGGCGGGCCCCGCAGGTCGACGTCGGTACTCCCGTTCAAACTGCGGTGGAGGCAGAGTGACACGCTGATCTCAGGTCTGATTTGGCGTCTGTCGTCGTGGCGCACGTGTGTACGTTAGAGGAGGGCGCTGCTGATTCAGGACGAGTTTGAGCAACACGTACAAAAGTAACGTGAATTGGTGTGGTGATATGTTTCATTTTTATATATTTTACCTCTCATGAAATTAGTAATTTTCATATTACAAATAAAGAATAGAAAAATAGATTAGAAAACAAAAGTATATAAAGTAAAAACACGTGCTTAAAAAAAGACCTCATGCACACTGAGTCTCTCATTAACCTCTCCTGTGAGCTGGTGTCCTCGCTCAGTGACTTGTACCTACACTCTGGACCGAAACTGATTCACAACGGCACCGTGTTTTATTTGAATGATCAGTCCGTCAAACAATGATTGTCTATAGTCACACTGAGGAGGGTGCGGGAGGGGGTCAAAGTGTGCTTTCTCACCAGTACACGATCCACTAATTTCCACCACACCAACATTATTTACCATTGAGAAAAAAAATAGGTGGGACACTTTTGAAGTCCTACCAAACAATTCACGAGAAGGACCAATAAAATACATGCAAAACCATTTAATTCCCTTGACAGCTAACACTAACACTTTTCTTTGATACTGATTAAGCAGAGACGACACATGTAAAAACACACAATAAACCTTTCACCAAAGAGGACACTTATGAGTCGGTTAATCACAGTTTGCCACTCAGACACAAATCTATTGGCCGAACGGCATAAAAAATGTCAAACGTCATAGAATAACATTATTTTTAAGCACCTTCAAACCTATAACAAATTTGAATTTTGTTGGACAAGCAGTAACTTCTGTGATGAAGGCAAAAGGCTGGTACGGTCTGCAAATTCCTACTTGTGTACTTAGTGAAGACTGTGTGGTGATGAGGTTTCTGTCTATTTAGTCACATACTAGAGGACAGTCTCACATACGAATACGGTTCATTTGCTAGAGGAGGAACAGAAACCCCCCTGGAGGTTCCCAGGCGGGTCAGAGCACCAGTGAGCCACTCAATCACACAGTAGCAGAAACACAGCATCAGAGAAATGAAGGAAACACTTTCAAATTAGCACCAACAGTACGCTTAAGGTTGAGTCATATATGAGCAACAGTGCCATTGAATCAACAATAAATTTAAGGCTGCTTATTAATCCCAAATAACACATGAGCAGCAGACAGAGCTTGTGCACTTTCTCAGATTCTGACCAGCTGCACCGGCAACAGACGGTTGTTTTTTCAGGCACGTTCCACGTGATGATATGGTGAGTGAAGAGATTTGCCGAGCTGAAACCTCAACGGTCCTTGTTTGTTTCTCTTTCGGAGCAGATAAAGTGTCTCAGGTCTCTGGTGTTGATCTTAACAGGCAGTGGTTTGTGTGTTCTTCTGTTGCCGGAGCTCAGCAGTCAGACATGGGCTCAGAGGTGAAAACATCAGGCTCTCGGTTGGTGGTCCCGAACGTGGAAGTGCTTCTCCGATCGCTTCCTTCTAGCTGCCAGATATATTGATTCAGTGTGGACTCTGATCTGAATGACGAGCATTTGTTGTTGCACTGCATCTTTTTCTCAGAGGCAGTTTCAAAATAGCTTTATGAAAGTGGACAAGAACCATTGGCTTGTTACCCTCAAGGCAGGAAGCGCTTTGTGAGGTTTTATGAACCTTAATCCAGTGTTTACCAGCCAATCTTGCTCTTATGGAGCTAAGTTCATTTAAACATCAAAGTCCAACACTTTGCTCTCCCTTAAAGAAAGTGACGGTACTTGTAGTCTCTGTCTCCACCATGAAGGCACAGGATGAATACATAGCTGTGGCGAGAAGGGGTTTGGCACTGAAGCTCGCTTATGATGGGACAGGAGGTTGTTTCAGTCCTGAGTGGCTCGCCTCATCTCCAGCTTCATTTTGAGTTCCTCGTTGAGCGCTGTGGAAAGACGGAGGAAACGCATCATGTTATGTTTGAAATATGAAATATTTAAACAGTCTATTGAACGCAAATCGCTCCTCAGATTTTTTTGAATCAAAACTGTCTGTCAAGGGCGGTTCAGCGGCAGGTGAGCCTTTGCATGAACTAACTCTGTGCGAGAGGCGAAGGGGAGAGGATGAGCCGTCGCATCGGATTGGTGGGCGAGGCCGGCGCCGGTGAGGTCAGGATGCGGCGGTCGGGGGCGGGGGACCTGGACAGGGGGCTGCTGGGCCAACGATCTGCACCAGAACAAAAGAGGTGCTCATTACTGCAGCCCGTCTGCCTGCGCGCACGCCGTTGACGTGGAAGAGACGGACCTTGTTTTGGAGGCAGGGCGGGAGCCTTTGGCAGAGGGCTGGAGGGGGCAGTGTGGAGGATCTTTTCTCCGTTCTCATCGTTGGCAGAAACGTATGCTGATAAGAAAAACAGGATTTTTTTTATCAGGGCAGCCTTTTAACAGATGAAGAGTCCGGTGAATACGCGCGTGCTGCACGGTGGCCTCACTGATGTTCTCTTCGTACGGCTCCTCCAGCAGGAAAGGCTGCAGAGTTCCCGCCGTCTTCTCCACCAGGGCGTCGATGACCTCGTGGAGTGTAGCACAGGGAATCTGGAGGAGGAAACCCAAAGCAGCTTGTCTCTTAATGCCAATCACACACACAGACATTGTCCTAGAGAATTTTACTCATATTTGTCAATGCTGTGTTCTATATTTCCCACAAAGTGAGTTGTTGCCATGCCCCTCCAAATGTCCCCTTGAAGGAGATAAGCTATCGGCAATGACGTGACACATTATTTACTTTAATAAAGTGTTATGTTATGAATGGAATTGAGGTTGGGTTGATGCATCAATGCAACAGTTCTCCAGCAACTACACAATAATAAACTGTCATTTAAAAAAATGATATAATAATAAAAAACAAAATGTCTAGAATGATTCCACCTTTAAAAAAGTGTTGAAGTGTATCTGCAGGGATGAAACACTCACAGGGTTTTCAACATCGATGACATAACCCCCTTGGTCCCTCTGGGTCACACGGTAATGTCTGAACACTGACCTGCAGTAGAAGAAACAAACACGCAAAAAAATTGAGTAACATTTGCAGTGAATGTTGTGTCGTCTGACTAGATTTGCAGCCGTGGTGCTCAGATGTTCGTCAGTTGTTTACCCATTGAGGTCCTGCCTGGTAGTGACAGCCAATGAGCATCCGTCTCTGCCTGGACGGAGCAGCATGTTGCCACAGTCTGGGTGTCTCTCCAGGAGGACCTCGGCCTCCGTTCGAGACACCGGTCGAAAACACCTGCAAGTCACACACACACACACACACACACACACACACACACACGCGCAAAGAATGATAACACTGTCCTGCTAATGCACTAAAGGTCAACAAAGCTACGGGCGCATCCTCTGGAGGAGAACTCACGGGGGGATCTCCCCCACTAAAGGCACGGAGAGAGGCGAGGGAGGAGCGCGCGTGGGCGTGCGATTCCTCCTCCTGGACCGTTCTTTGTCCACTATCTCCCTCAGCATCTGCAGTTGGCCCGGCAGCAGCGTGAGACAGGATGGCACGTTCAGCTGTGATTGGACCAGAGGGGAGGATGTCTTTAGGTCGGCGACAAGAGGGATAATGATGAATGCAGGGACACAAAAGTGTATGGGATGAATATTTACATCAACAACGGAGTAGAGGAAACCTTTCCACAGCTCTCGTGATTCCAAGTTTGGTGCCTGGCGGAGACAACAGCATTGTTACATCTTACAAAATGTGTTCATCTGTATGTATATGCGTGCCTGTGTGTGTTGTGCATTACTGTGAGTTTGGTTTCTCCATCCTTCATGCGTAGAATGAGTCTGGCCGCCTCCAGGTTTCTATCCCGGCTGCAGTCGTCCTTCAGGGACACAAACCCGCTGAGGTCTAGCTTCTCCACAAACTGTAACACACACACACGTTTCATTGGGAACTCACCATGACGCACAAACAACGCGCCATTAACCGTTGGAAACTCACATGACTGTCCTTGGCGTTATTGAAGAAGTACAAAGAATTCCCGCACAGACAGGTCCACAGTCGCCTGGCCGCCTGACCGAAAGAAGAATAAGAGACACTCTGCAGCCTCATGTGTGTAATGGATATTCCCCTTGCTATTTATCACCCCCACCACCCATTTCCTGTCCCAGGAGATGAATAGGAAGTGAGCCACAGCTGCTCTCTGTGGCCATGGATCAGGGAGATGCCCTGCACCTGAGCCAAGCTCACGTTACATGTCCGTATTGCCTCAAAATGAGTTTAATGAGACCCTGGGTTCTGGGGGGAGGAGGGTATCCTAGTCTTTATTTGTCAAAAAACAACATAGGTAAGGGAGTTATTAAGGAATACAGGTTCCTTAATAACGGCTATGCAACTTTGCAATTGGAGACATTAGAGATTCACTTAAGGGATGTCACAACAATATGTCCAAATGAGAGTATTTTACGCGTTGAATTGTTGGCGATGCAAATGCTTTGGCAGACACGCACACGCTCCTCTATGTGACACAGATACCCTTAGTTATCAAGATACAACCACAATCAAATAATATGATTCGAATGGCATGCGATGATTGACACATCGGGATTCGTCCAAGGACCGTAGCACAATATCCCTCTCAGATTCTTGCAGATCCGGACTCAACAGAACTAATCTGCGATCCGCAACGTGAAGCGATCTTCAGCAGCAGTCTCGCCTCGCCCATCTTACCGGCGTAAGGAAGTTGACAGCTCTCTGGGAATGGACCGGGGGTGGGGGGGGAGGGGGGGTCATAAACCGGTGTGCTGTAACACCGACGCACTGACCGCACAGCGTGCACCGTAAAACAACAACATGGCAGTGCACCGGGGGAGCGCTTACCTTCTCTTTCGGTCCTCGCTTCTCCAGGTACCCTTCGTAGTAGCAGGGGGGGAGCTGCGCCCGGGGTCCCCCCGGCCCGGAGCGCTGCCTGACGGGTGCAGCCGCCATGAGTGTCGCTGGCTGGGCACCGCGCGAGGACAAAGGGGCGCTGACTAATTCGTGGAGTGACACGCCCTCCCCCGATATGAGATGGGGCCGTGGCGGCGATCCAACAGCTGGCCGCGGGGATCGTGCAGATGGGGCTCGGTTGCGTGGGATTAGAAACACGGGATGGTTGGGAGATAAATGTCCGAAATATTCAGAGAAAATTAGCAGTTGTGCAAATTTGTGAAATGACGGATAAAATTAAGAAATCAAGCGCATTTCAAAAGGCATGATCCTCCTCCATGATGCTTCCTGCATCAGTATCAAAGTTTGATTTATATGATATCAACTGAAAAAGGTAAACTCAGTAAAAGGATTGTAATATACACACGGAGAGCCAAATTAATATTCTTGATATTTATTTGAAGAAGTGAACGCAGAATCCATCCCCTTTACATGGTAACAAACGTATACAACACAGATGATTACACACTACATATCTCCTAAAACTAATCCAGGATAATCCCACTTTTAGCCTCCCCGCAGTGTCACAGTTACAAAAAATAAGACATTGTGTAAGACACACAGGCTGTAATGAAGACAATTCTACATAGAAAATTCAGATTAATAAAATAAAGCTTAAAAGTCAGATAATACTCATCATTATTGCATAGTTGATCACAGAATGTCGTGTTGCAATAAATGTCAACCACGCTATTCAGACCGCTACTGCATATGTGACAGCAGCGCCACACAAAAATTGATCTTAGCGTTTTGCACGACAACATTATTCATCATCAATATTATACAAGCTGCATAATAGCTCCAGCTGGACCCCTGACCCTATTCTCCCCTCTAAAAGTCATGGCTATTGATTTAGTGTAATGATCTACGTAAACCCACACCTGAACCTCACAGCTACGGCTCAGCACATGCAAAGATAACACGCAAGAGACTATGAAAAAAAAATAAGAACATTATCATTGCGGACCGGGAGGCTCCCAGAGACACCATGGGATTGGGATGGGGCGGATAATGAGAAAGGGGGTGGGGGAACGGGGGGCAGGTGGTGGATAAAGACCACTGGGGGAGGGAGGGCATAATCCACTGCTGGTAGCCTCCCTTCTGAAAAGACCTGTCTGTTCCGCTCCCGGTACAAACAGAGATGGGAGAGATGAGTCGGGTGGGGTGGCGGGGGATCATGACGGGAAGAGAAAGTTTGGTATTTTAGTGAACAACAAGCTTAATTGAAACTGAAACAGGCTATTGTGCAGACGCCTTCATCATTATTAGTAAATGGCGCACACAATTGTTTGGTGATAGTTATGCAGTATTTTCTGTTTGGTCTGGAGCACAATCTCAGCCTGAAAACGGAGGCAGGTACAAAACACATCAGATTCATTTACATGCTTGCCTCAGCACGATGGAAGAGGGGGGGGGGAAACAAAAACAGACCAAAATTCATTGTGAAACAGCTGGGTCAAAAAGCCCAAGAAAACATTGTGCGTGACACTGCCTGCAGTATCAATACAGCCTGAGAAAATAGAGGAACTGAAGGGGGCTTATGGCTTTGGTTTAATGCTGCAAAATATTTGAGGTGGGATAGAATCATGTTACATTTTTGTGTGTTATACTCCAATGGAAACCAAAGTCAGGTTCTTCTTTAAAATGTAGTATAAAAAGGAAAGTTTGTTTGCATGCGTTACCTTAATTTTGTATTTGTAAAATGAGTTGCACATGCATGGGACCGAACCACTGTTGTCTCGTCCACGAGTAGAGTGGAGAAGCAGTGAGAAACACTGCGGTCGGTAAATTATTAACAAAGTAACAACAATTGATGTGTTAAAAGATTGTAAAGTGAAGCCTATTTATAGAAAAAAATAGCCTGTAAAACAACATTTTGGTCTCAAACTTCTGAGGTTTGCAGAGCTGCCAAAGAGGTAATCTGATTGGCGGTGGTGTAGGAATGAAAAAACAAGTTGTTACAGAGGTCAGTCAACCTGTGGACTGGGTAGAGCTATTTTCAAGATAAGAAAATCCACACATACACACCACACCTAAGGTGAATTAGGAAAGCGATAGTGGCTGCGTTACAACGGCACTCAAACCAATAGCTGAGAGTGATCCTTCGAACCACTAGATGGCAGCGGAGGAAAGACGTGGACAGAGGCCAGCCAGTCCTCCATGTTGACTCAAACTAGTCCATGAAGACAAAGCTCTACATGCATGCGTGTAGTACCAATATTAACAATACGTAGTACATCATCTTGTGAGTATAAAATCGGTAAGAAATATAGGAAGAAGAGTTGCACTTCTTAGTGTTTGTGAATACAGCTAAACATTAAGATGTTATTCTCTCATGATCTTGCCTCATCAGTCCCAGTGATGGAGGTGTAGTGTAGAAAGTGCACCGGTGCATGGGAATGACTGTAAATACTCAGGATACGGTGAGTGCTCACATTGTGGTGTCATTTTTTGACTGAACTTCCCTTTCGCCGTAAAAACTGCAAAGCTTGACAAAAAAAAGAAAAAGAAAAAAAACTATATTTTTTCTAATACCTTCTAGGTTCAAATTAGGCCCTTGTCTTGGTTTACCCTTTAATTAAAATAAAGATTAAGTATGTTTTGGTTATAGAGAGTTGATGATCCACTACCATCCCCCATGTTTATCCTCTCCGTCTTGCCACTTCCCTCTCGCGTTGTTGTTTTCAGTGTTGCAGAGGCACCATCACTTCGACATAGTTGTTAGGGAAGTATCCACTTCTGCCTCGAATGGCTCCCTCAAACCAGTTGTCATCGATTTGATTGACCAAGGTGATGATGTCGCCCTCGTGGAAGCCCAGCTCTCCTTCGTTCTCCGGCTCAAAGTCGTACAGAGCTTTACAGCAGGGCTCAGCTGCAGAGAGATGCAGGGAGAGAGAAAGAACAAATAGGGCCATGTTGTGAAAATATATATATTTTTTATGATATCCGGTTCACCAACAGTTAGTACATTTTGTAAATAGGGGAAGGAACAGACAAGTTAGTCATCAGTAAGTGGTGAGTGTGAATCCTCCTGAACCATAAAGGACCAAGGTCACGACATCCACCTTCACCTGTTTGAGAGGTGAATAATTAGATTCACACTACGGCTGTAAAGTCAACCACGTGCCACCAAATTATTTTTCTTAAGGTTCAGGAGGATCAGTTAGTGAACTTAAACAGACACATACAAATTAGCGGAACCACGACTGCCGGTAAAAACGCCACCCACTGATAACAAAAGCGCCACGCAGGGTTTGCTGACATGTATGTACATCCAACAAGCCCGGTCCTGTGGTGGGAACCTGACGGACCCAACAAACACCCATCAACGCCGTTAGTTACCATCACACCAACATGCGTACAGCTCCGTGCCACAAATGTGCACCAGAGTGAAAGTGCAGGTAGGGAAACCTTCTAGTTCTGTGTAAGTGACACGTTATCTTCATCGGTCTCACTCACTCGGTCGGCTCTTGCTGGAGGATCTTTGGTAGGATGGACGTGGATATTGTGCAGGGGCTGGTTTATAGATCGCAAAATGAAAGACACATTAGTCTTAAGAATGAGATCGACTTGCACACATTCATGCGTAGATGCTCACACACTAACAAAATTGTATCCTTATATAAAAAAGTGGACGTAGTCATCTTGGCGTCACCCATTGGTTTGCAGACTGCGGTTTTTAAGCCTTGAGTTTGGCCATTTGACCGAAACCGTTTTGGATTACAACCGTCGCCATCTTGACTTTTTTAACAACCACTGAATTGAAGTGAACATATTTCGACGGTGGCCTCATATGGTTGCGGGAGGGTGAAGACCTGTCGCTAACATGGCATTTTACACTGAACGGGAACATCACGTACTATATGAACATCCTGATGCATTGCAGAAGACCTCAAATTAGAGATTGAGACCATAAACCCAAGCTTACAATGTTTAATGAGGAAATAAATCAATTGAGAAGCAGGGTCATTTTCTCATATACGTCTATGACCTGTAATGTAATAGGTCCAATCAGAGGCGTCGCCCCCCCCAGCTTTAGTTTATTGAGACACTTCCCCATTGGGAAGGTGGCCGCCTGATGAAAGACATACAAAAAGGTAAGTTTACCGGGAGAGTAAGCTGGAGGGCTTGATGCAGCTGGCGCGTATCCTCCATTAGATTCTTCCACCTCTCCATAGTCATACGATGGTCTGGGTCTGGGTGTGTATTCCCGTCTTGGACGAGATTGAGCTTCATTCACCCTGCACACAATCCACATGAAAGATTTTAGCTGAATGAGCTAAAAGACAAGACTTATATGTTGTTTCGATCGTGGGCTATAATCCAATTACTACTACTTCAAGCAAATAATGAAAAGCAATACAAATCCATTTTATTCAACCCTCTAAGCTCTACCATTTGGGCAAGCACATCGAGTCATTATATATTATAGAAAGAATGTGCATGAAAAGAAAAGTAATCATTCAAAACTATAGTTTTAAGTAAAATAAATCAAATCAAAATATAAAGTGATTTGTGGTCAGCATCAGCTACCACTTGACATGAATAACTTGTGCTCAGATGAGTAGCAGGAAGTACGGTAAAGCCGAGTCATCCTTTCATGCAGCATCAGTGCACAAAAGGTTTGCCTCCTTCCACAAATAGTCACGGCACTGACCTTTCTCTCAGTTTGCCGGTAAGCTCCTCCAGGATCTCTGAAGCTTGTTTATGGTACTGCAGCAGAGACTCCACCAAAGAAGACAGCTGACTCACCTGCTCCACCTAAATGCAAATAAACAAACACAAAAACGCTGTGGTCCTTCAGAGCATTTTTTACCAGTTAATCGTCGTTAATTGTCAGGTCTCGCGTCATTCCATCATCAGGTTAGACTTGTTTATCCCAGTAACGTCACTCTGATGAGCTCTCACAATTGCCGCAAGGAATGCGGTAAATAGAAATCAAAACCGGTCTGACAAGCTCGCACTAGTGCCAGTCATCGTGTCCCAAAAAAAATTCTTTCTTTAAAGAAAGCAGCTAGCAAGCCACATGCACTTATAAAATAGCAAAATATACAACCAAAAAAAAATCAGGTGGTCTGTGGAACAATAAGTCAGTTTTGTATTACTTCTATTTTGCATTTGTTTTATTTATGGGCATGACATTAATTATCTAAATTAATGCACATTATAGAATATGCCAATTCAATTTATTCCAGCCATAAATGCTTTAATCCATATTACACTGACTGTAGGAGATGTGAGTCGTTGTTTTTTAGTGTCTTATAAACAAGTCTGGTGGGTTTCTGTGTGCAATTTACAATGCAAATTTGGCCAGTCCTGTCCTTATACCCCCCACCCCCCCAAAAAACCCTTCTAACCCTAGAGAAACACCGCAGTCTGAGGGATACTCACATCTGTTTCCAGCAGATTGTACATGGAGGCTTCAGCCGTCTCCTTGGACTCATGGAACTTCTCCAGGGCTTGCCTGATCTCTTCATCCTGGATTTTACCCTGGCGTTTCTTCTTATAATCGTAGTCGAGACGACGGCCTTCCAGCTTCTTCAGCTGGTACTGACGGGGTAAAAGAGTTGGGATCGGGAGGTTGGAGTTTATCAGAACACGGTTTTCACTTCCTCGTGACGGTTTTGAGAAAATTTGAGGAAGCTTTCTTCTTCCTCGTTGACTCTACCTGAATGTCTTTGATATCCTTCTCAGCGACTGCCTGCAGCGGGTCAATAAAGTTCTGCTTCACATCAATGTCCAGCGAGTCCTTGACCTCAGCCATCCTTTTCATTGATTCGCCAATATCCGTGAGAGCCCCACCTGCAGTGCGCGCACACACACACTTTAAATTACTTTTTAATTAGTAGTACACTCGTGGATCCCAATGAACAAACATAAACCACAACCATAATTTTAACCTCTTTCAACAGATTTCTTACCAAAGTTGGTTTCCTCGCCCATATCTCGTCCATACTTTGTCATGCACTCCCCCAGGAGGCCCTCCGGCTGAGGGTAGCCAGGACCGTTCCCCTGCCCGCGCATTTTGGACACCGTGCTGACCATGGAAAGCTTAGCTCTCGTCGCCGGGTTGGGCTGGAGGTACTCTGTTGTTTTATTGAGGATTTCCACCACCGCTTTGCTGGTAATATCGGCTTTCTGGGGGCACAAGTTAATTAGAGACAATCACGTAAGTGTGTTTGCGTGTGCCGAGTGTTAAATGCCTTTAAGTGTTTAAATGAGTGGGCGACCCTCTGGGGACATCACTTAACTTTAAGCAGAACAAAAGAACATCCCGTTATAATTATTGAGTATGAATATTTTCTTTAAAATGTGTGTGCGTTACCCTCTCGAGGTCCTTGAAGTCTTCATCCAGTTTGGTTCCCTCAGCACCTCCAACCTTCTCACTCACCATCTGCAGACACAGCAATCACAGTAGTGAAACCAAGTCAGAACCTGCTGGCAAAAGGGCCTCAACCGGACCGTCACAAACACACTGCTGTCTATTTACAAACTTAAATGGATATTCAAAAATTCCCACCATTAATTATTTTTGCAGCCTGCTTGAAACAATTCCAATTACAAAGATTCCAAGACAGACCCTTGTTTTCCATCAGTGGAAGAGCCTCAAGTCTGCGTGAGGAAATTCATTCTGAAAACTGGGCTTTCCCTTCTACTGAGATGTTTTCCACCAACTCAGGCATTTCAGTTTTATACACTACAACCACATAGATGGACACTTTTACTAAAGCGCGCGCACACACACACACACACACACACACACACACACTCTCAATTCCTACCCTGACTCACACAGGGCACAGAAGTTGTCCATTTCTCATCCACAGCTACAAACTTTAAAACCCAGTGCAGTTGGCTGGCAGGCCAGACAGAGGCTCATGGTGCTCGTGTGTTTTCTCAACTCGGTGCAGCTGTCGGCACCACACTACAGATAAAACTACACCCAGATGGATCCATCAATCTCTATTGTCTATATAATATACAGACTAGGTCATTTCATATGACAGTAGCTGTGAAAATACCCTCAGCAGTTGTGCGATATAATTCAGCAACAAACGTTCCCTATTATTTGGAATTCATTAATCTATCGGTACCATAGCAAGTTGTTGCGGCATGTAACTGTGTGAAATTCAAACAAACACACTTTGAACGGCCCATCTGGCTTCCATAAAGCACCCATTTTTTATTTCCATGACTAATAAACTTTCCCCTCTTGATGAGACTAGAGTCTGTAATGCATCTTGAAAGACGACATAAAGCAGTTTCATTGCTATAAGATAGTTATGTAGCTCCAGATAATTTATAGTCAGCGTGTTTGTGGAGCCCATGTAAGTTTAGCGTAGTTGGTCGGTGACAAAATCCAGATGCAAAACACGCTGTGGATTAAAATAAAAGAGCAGGTGCACAATTAATAACCCACTGGACCCAATGTTAACTATTTAAAGCTGCTCAGCAACTTCGCTGACATTTGAGGTAAATCATTGATTGAATAAAACGTATCTTTATGGCAGTAGGAGGTGGAGGTTATTGAGGGACTAATTTACAGAACTGATAACCGTGGGTTATTAAAACGAACAGGCCTGTGCTACCAGAGGGCAAGGTGTTCATTACAGGAACGTACACATTACAAGACATATAGAAAGTCGAGGACTTTGGGTGTTGGCCAACAGCACTGCTTGAGTTTTGCAATAGAAGCTTTTTGTGACACCTGGTTTGTTATTGCTTCCTTTTTGGTCAATGCACAGACTAAATCTGTGTCTACTGGGTTACTTAACCCTGCAGGCTCCTTTGAGGAGAGTAGTCGCATGGCCTGGATTCCAATTGACACCCACTGAGACGGGAAGCGTCACTAGAATGTCAAAAAGTGTACGGGCCAAAGCAAGAACCTGTTTAAAGCAGCTGTCGGCAAAACAGTGGCCACCAGTTTGGCGACGGGCGTCAAGATTCGCTTCACGTGTGCAGCGGCGAGTTTAACTTTTAAACTTTCTCAAGAGTCAACAGTTACAGTTGGAAGCACATGAGAAACCTTAATAAATTAACTGATTTTTAGTATGATCAGATTACCGTATACGTGTGTTCACTACATGGCAGTCAGACATTTGACGGACACTCGTCAGGATAAAATAGTTGACTTGCTTTTCTAAACCTTTGTTCTCCATCTGGCATCAGTCATTACGTGTGCTTTTAGTTTGGCATTCACGCAACACCTGTAACACCTTTCCTAAATGAGACAGCAATGCCAAAGATAGAAGACATGAGCCTGGAACAGCTCATACGTTAATAATCTCATTGTAGAGTTATGTTATATGTCAGAAAATAATAATCAACTTCATATCAGCATGACTGCTAATTTATTTATTATTTATTTATTAGAATATGGAGGTGTTGTAATATACTAATATAAATGACATAACACAGTCTTGGATATTTATGTCATGATATGATCTCACAGGTAGTCAGGCAGTGTAACACCAACACGTCAGGAAAAAGAAACAAACATCACTTTACGGTATTTACACCCGAGTGACTCATCTACTCGCTGTTTGACATCACGGCAAAGATGCAAGAACATCTCATCCCATCGACAGATTATATACAACGTTTAACTTTTACCTAAACCTCAGTGACAATAGAGGAATACAGTCTACGTAACGTTAATTCAATTAAGGATTAAAGTCAGCCCACCCTGCAGTCAACTAGCGTTAACTTAATTTACCACTTCGCGAATGGAGGCGCTTCAATAACACGATGAAATGTTATGGAAGCCTACGAGGGAAAAAAAAAAAAAAGATTACGTCGAGGTAACGTAACTTAAAAGTTAACAAACGACGTTTCGATTGACGTTACGTCAAAACGACCGTAAAGCTAACGCCAAGAGCTATCGACGTTACCTGACAGTTAGCTAACGTACCTACGAGGTTGACAACAATGACAATAGTCGTCTACTTCCATCCAGGCGAAGCGTGTCGTGCACCGCCAGCTAACGTCGATGGCAACGTCTGTCACTTAACTAGAGGTTAAGCGGATAAAGTTAGCTTGAAGCCGGCGTAAACTTAAGAATAAAAGTACGGATAGTGAGCTAACGCTAGCTTCAGCTAAGCTATCGGCTAACGTTGGTGTTTAGCTACTTTAAGTCGCGCTTTTTACCTGACTGGCTTTGTAGAACTGCTTCTTAAATCCTGCAACGGACATCTTGCAACTTCAGCGAAGAAGGTTTTCTGTTTTTGAATTGTTGTGGTTAAGTTCCGAAGTGTCCACCACAAAGCAGCAGCAGCCGAGCAGCGCGTCCTCAGACCGGGGATGGAAAACTTGCAACGCCACCGTGGTTTCCTGGCCCCATCTTCACCTGTGGGAGGTCCCGTCCAACACCGCAGACACGCACACGTCCCACTGTGCCGCTGTGTACTTTTGCTTTATTCATACTATTATTCAAGAAGTTTGTTTGTCAACGCAAACCTTTGTGCAGAGCTGAAAAAGACAACAATTTTTTTTAAATTAAATTTTTTTTTTGTTTAATTAAAAACAAATTTTAAATTAAAATTTCAATAATATTACAATGAATAATAATGATTACATTACATTACAGGTCATTTAGCTGACGCTTTTTATCCAAAGCGACTTATAATACACTTTAAACCCATGGCTTTTTCACATTTTGCCCGGGGAGCAATTAGGGGTTAGGTGTCTTGCTCAGGGACACTTCGACTTGAAAAATAATAATATTATTCAGTTACTTTCTGATGTATAACGGAGAGAGCCCAAACAAAAAAAAGCTGCAACCACGGAATGATTTATTGATTAATCACTGCCATGATGTGACATTTATCAGCATCATGGCCAATTTTGTTCCATTTATTTATTCACTTTCCGTTGCAAGCACAACATAGTAGTCTGTGGGTCAAACAAAACACCGACCGTGGCTATTTACATGGGCAGGAATAGAATATTTGACTTGGGGTTTCAGACACTGATAAGACCTCTGATCCGTCATAAACATGCAAAGACCCACCTTACATATAGTAAAATAAAAGCCAAATTCACCTCAAAGAAGAGTCAAAGAAACAATTCAAAAGAAAAGGAAACCATTTATTACATTCTTAAAACCACATATAATGTATCCCATTGGACAACAATATATATAGAGCCATGTGATTTAGTTACTCTTGGACGAGTAATATACCTCTTGTACATTGTGTCATATAGGAAAAGAGAAGGGAGACAAAGTATTATTTTTTGTTTGTACTGTAGTCGGTCTTCAATTAAAAAATAGATCACTGACTTTACAAGACAAGAGTGGAGACACAAGAAAACAGTGGATAAAAGACTGACAAATAAAAGAAAATCACAGCAAAAAGAAACATTAAACCCTTATAATGAATTCTTCCGTAGTGCTAAAAGATTTTTTTTTTTCAATTCCTATGTTGTCAATTTGATTTCACAATATCAGGACAAATGGGATGGGCTTCGATACTTTTTGGGTGACATTCACAAAAATAGAAATTACGTCCACATTAATTTGGGTAATGGGTTTTTATTTTAGGTGCAAATGTGTGAGAAGCACGATGCTAAAGGACGACACTGGTAATAAAAAAGGGACACGAGACCACAGCCAGCTCCCTGAGCGGTAGGCAGAAGGTCCTCAGAATCTGCTCAAGAAACTTCACAGCACGCCGGGGTAAGACATCATCCTCATCTCAATGTAACAACCTTCAGATAGTGTGTTATGTACATAAACAATGTAAACAGTTATAGGTGACCTTGTGTATCGGATATGGAATAAAAAACTAAAATAATAAAACAGATTGACCCTAAAGTCTTACTCAGGGGGGGAGTAGCTCTCTCTGCCCGTAGATTAGTGTCCAGTGAGGATGAAGTGCTTGGTGTTTGGACAAGTGTTTGGGATATGGACTAAAATGAGAGAGGAACAGCAAATGTACAAAATAATACAATTCTTTTCGACCAGCAAGGAGGGTTCATGATACATATTATATATATCTTCCATGTTCTGGCCATTATCCAACTGAAACTATGAGTGAAAGACAATTACACTACACCTTATTGTACTGACTGCTGGTTAGAAAAAGGTGGGGGATACCCTGTGCATCCCGTTTTATTATGAAGTTCAGGAAGTCATTTTTTGCCTTGTCCTTTCTCTTAGTTTCCATGTGTCTCTCGTCTCTTTAGTTAGGACGCAATAGCGCAGCCTAAAAACTCATTTAAACGTTTTTGTCCTTGTAAAAGGTACACAGCACCCCCTGCTGTGCCGCTTCTGAAACAAGCGTCAATCCCGTCACTTGCGCGATGACCTCCCATAACCCCGCTGGGTTTTGCCTTCAGTGCAAGAGGGGATTGTTTCAATGGGAACCTGAGAAAACTGCCAGGAGGAGATGTAGTCCAGATTTTGAGTCCGAATATCATCCATCTTTGTTCCACGTCTTACAACGTACTTTTCTCTCCCTCTCTCTGTGAACTCACACATTCCAACTCTCTCCATATACTCATATAGTCATCTATTTACATCTTATTTAAAATATGTGTATAAATGTGTATATAAATTAAAGATAATTTCATCTTATCCTGTCTCTAAGTGGCATTTACAAGGAAAGGGGTGCATGGGACTGAGGTTTCTCATTGCATTACAAGAGCCTGTACAAAAAGGCAGCACCGAACACTGTCTAACTGCTAAGCGCGTTCTCAGCTGATTAAAGAGCTCGGCCCAAGCCCAGAGTCATGTGTGTTCCCTATCAGAGAAAATGACTCCAGATCTTGGTCCCTAAGCGATTGTCGGTACGGCGGATATTGTCTGTACGAATACGCAGGCGTACCCTACGGAGATGTATTAATGTAGAAAGAAGTATTGACAAAGGTGAATTAATAGTGGGACCTGTGAATCTACACAACTTCATTCTAATACTTAGTGTAAAACTCTGTAAATGGTGTCAGGTTTGTACATTCACTGTTGTTGGCTTCTGGCTGATGCACTGGTGCGTTTCGATGAGGTACATTCATAACTAGTTTCTGCTCCACAGTGGATCTGATGTTAAACGAGTGTGTTCTAGTGGGCTGTTTTTACTTCTATACCCATCCGCGTGTTGTTTATGCTACAGTGTGCAGAGGGCCGTGAGCCTGTGTGGTCTGTAGTGTAAGGTGCTTTGCCTGCTGGGAGGGTGGAGGACTTCTTTGGGATCACGGGAGACGGAGTATTAGAAATCCTGGATTGTCTCTTAACTGCTGGTTGATGAGCTTCAACATCTCTATCCTTCTCTGTGCGTCCTTCTTGCTTCCCTACTTTTCAATACACTCTCCATCCGTCTCTGTTTGTCTATCGGCCTTTCTAGCCGTTGGTGGAGTCCGGCAGAGACATCTCACTGCCGAACACTTCCCGGTACAGTGGTGGGAAGCTGTAGGCGGTCTCTGGGTGGACCAAACGGAAAAACTCTAGTTTATCCACGTGGAGGTTGCAGATAGACTTCATCATGGGCAGCTTGGACACAATCTGCGAGGAGAGGGAAGACGTGTAAGCTCATGGCATGTCTTGCGTATGCTTTTGGAAGCGTTTAAGAAGCGTTGCGACTGCTTATCTTTACCTTGTCCATTTTCTCTTCTGAAGCTCCACTCTTGTGTAGACTGTGCTGCAGAGCCAGGTACACCTTCTCCTGGAGTTTTTTTATTTTTTGGCCTTCTGTTAGCCAGTGCCGATCTACAGGAAAAATAGTTCCCATTAACATATAATAGTGGCTTCTTTAAGTTACTTCAATACACATTGTAAAAGTCTGTCATCACAGTTATAATGAAGGTTACTAGAGGAAATGTATACATTTAGTTGAGTGTGTAGGTTGAAGATGGATCAACTGGGGGCCTTCTCACGACAGAACAGCATTGAATGGTCTGTAATAGACTACTCTGATCTGCCAGTATTATGTGCATCTCTGAGAAAGAGAGACATAAGAGGAAAATAACCACCTGGAGATAATAGAACGGCAGCGCTAAACAGAGCCATCTCCTCATCAGACAGCTGGAGACGGCAGAGTCCTTTTCCCAGGTCAAACACCGCGCTGACCAGGTCATCACAACCTGCATACACACAGCAAACAAATATGAATGCATTTATAGTCCTACTTAATTTGATCAAGTGACATAGACGATACATGGGGTGAGAATGTGGATTTTTATTACTCAATTTGCACGTTTTTTGACTTATTGGACAAAAATGTGTGAAACCACATTAGGATCCAATTTGACGGGACTTTAGAAACACTGTTCAGCTGGAGGCTGTTAACTACGTCGCTTTTAACACCAGTTCTGGTGTCGATGAGTGTCAAGCTGATGGTCTGACGGCGTCATTTTAGGAACAATTACGGGAGTAAGGCAGCTTACGAAACTCCATCTGATCCTCACCAAGTGCTTTGAAGAACTGAGCGAGGGCGAACTTTCCATTGAAGAAAATGCTGCTGTTGTTGACGTTGAAAGCTCGGCACATGCGGATCAGCAGGACCTCCAGACAGCCTGAAGGGGATCCACAAAGAGAGGCAAAGGCGCGGATGAGGGGAAGAGGAGGGACGGAGAGGAGCCAAGATGCTCCAACATGCACAAAACAATACAACAAAAAACAAATCATTTTGACCCAGACTGGTGAGAGGCAGATGAGATGACATTTTTGAAAATTTTAGAAATTAACAGGATGAATTGGATATCCAGAAAGATTTTTTTGAAAAAAGTTCAAAGCGTTTACAAAGAGTAACGCATTGTCAAATATATGCATTTTGTACCAGACACACACATATATATTTGTGTATGTGTTTCAAAGAGATAAATAAATGTCATTTCAGTAGAAGATGGGAGACAAAAATACAAAAAATAGGAAGGAACTAAAATTAGCAAGTTTCAGACTTGGTTTATTAAAATAGTATTTGAGATGTGAGCATTTTTAAAAACTATGCACTGACCTGCTTTCAGCAATATAATCTGGTCATTCTGGCACAAGTCCATGAAGCCAGCGATACGCTTGGCAAACTCCACCACGTACTGAATGGCGTTGGTGATGTGGTGTGCACACTGCTGCCACATCCACTCAGCTGACTGAGAAACACGCACAAGAGAAACGTAATTGTTACATTTTACACATTAATATCTTTTTAGGGGGTTTTCCAATCAGATCGAATTCAGCACTCGCACTAAAAGTACTGATAATAGCACTTTTCTTTTGCGTGTGAGACTGAAACGATACATCAGTAAAATAAGCTAATTAAGTTATTCAAAATACAGAGTTAATATGCCGTGTTGCATTTGAAACTATCCTTCAAACGCTATTGAGATATTATTCTTCAGACTTCACAAAGCACACATGGAATTTAATGTGAGCGCCGCGTACCTTGCTTTGAAAAGCACGCGTTTCCTCAGGTGTGTATTGTGCCCAGGTGAATCTCTTCATGTCTTCAGCGCTGTACTGACATGTCTCCAAGTGAGACTTGAGAATACTCTGAGTGATGCGCTCTGCGGAAAACAAACACAAGCCGATAACAATCAGTTTTTTTATGTGATGTCTGTGATGGCAGCAGGTTGGGGTGAGACCCAGCTTTACGCTTTGCACCAAGATGGAGCCGTAACTGCTCTTCTACTTTTACATTACATCTCTGAATCTACATCTTTTCCATTCTCTGCACTTCTAATACCCACAATTCATCATATTTACTCATTGCTTCCTTTAAAAGTCTGTGCTGTGTTTAAGGCCTCATTGCACTTTGGTGTAGCCAGCAACCATAAGAATGTCAAATAAAATACAAATGTTATATTGTTATAATGTTATAAGTCCTTCACAGACGGTTCTCTAAAGAAATGCATTTGCATCCTTACCTCTATAAATACCATAAGATTTTGTTAGCCGTCATCGGTCCCTGTTTTAATCTCATTCAGCTTGATGTCTTATGCCGGTTTCATATTGCTTGTTTTGCCGATTAAATCTTGCTCTTATCCTCTTATCAATTATTCTTTTCCGATAGCCTTTTTTATAGAAATGTCTTTGTGTTTCATCTGAGAAATATATATCCAACAGTATAACATCATGCCACACAACGTTTTTGGGACTATTTTAGTATTACTGGCTTTTCCTGCTATATGCTTAGTGCAAATTGATCATTCACTGACTTATTAATAAACTCTTGGAAAAAAAGTGCTGAGTTTGGGTCAAGAGCAAGCAGCCGGCGACTCCAAGAATGGTAGCAAAAAGACGAAGTTTGAAAAGTGGAACTAAGAAATAAATGCCTGTCTCTTATAGTATTCTATACTTAGTCACAAGTGAACGTTCTCTCTTCATTTAAGTGCATAAAAGCCCTGACGGCCATTGGAGCGATCCGGGTGTACTCATATACCCGGTAATGGAAGAAATGATTTGATCATTATCATTGTCAGAACTCACCAAGTTCTGTTATGGAGCAGTCCTCGGGCAGATGATCCAGCAGCGCATGCGTGCGCTTCAGCAGAGGGTGCGTGAGAGAGTGTGCGCACAGGAGGTGGATCCCGGCGGCGTCCGCTCCGTCCGGCATTGTCGGCTGCGGGGAATTCTGATTGGACGAGGAGGACGAGGAGGAAGAGGCGGAAGATGAGTTGGAGGTGTTCCCCGCGCTGGCTCCGCCGCCCAGCAGCTCCAGGCCGCAGTACTCGCCGGACCCCTCGGGGGTCAGCGGCAGGTCAAACAGGTCCGGCAGCGCTGCGATGTCCTCTAGGTCGCTGAGGGTGGAGCTGGAGCCCCCGCTGCTGTAGGACCGACTCAGAGCCTCCTTGCTGTCCTCCCCTCCACCACCACCACCACCTCCACCTCCACCACCACAGACGCCCTCCTCCTTGGGCACGGACAGAGCAGTAGCGCCCCCGCCAGCGGAGCCCGCACACTCCTGGGACTTTTGGTGCTTTTGCACTTCAGCGTAGAGGCTGTCGCGCTGCTTCTTGGACATGCGGCCGAATTTGACCGCTGCAGAAAAGAGAAAGCACATTTTCATTATGGCACGGACTACATTGCGTTTGCGTGTGGTTACCGTCTCTGCTCATGCCCAAAGCCAGACATTTCTGTAGGCGGCAGTGCTGGCAGCGGTTGCGGTTAGTTCGGTCGATCAGGCAGTTCCTCTGGCGGGAACACGAGTACATGGCGTTGTTCTGCTGGCTGCGCCGGAAGAAACCCTGGACACACACACACACACACACACACACACATAACATCACTGTAAGTGACGGGCACCTCTGAGGTTGAATAGGGCGGCCTGGTTCGGTAGCATTGGTTTCCGTGGCGTGTTTTACTCCTCACCTTGCAGCCTTCGCAGGTGATGACTCCATAGTGGATTCCTGAGGACTTATCTCCACAGATCTTACAGGGAATGACCTCGATCTGAGCTACAAGATCACAAAACCACACAGACAAAAGAGGTGAGATCTCCACGCGGAGTGAAGTAGAGATTAAACAATCAGTTAACATGCTCAAATGAGCAGCGGAGTCATTCTCTGGGTTGTCTCCAAAAACAACATTGGGTCACATGACCTATTCATTCGCACTCATCCCTTTCACAGAAAGCCTGTATTTCACGTTGAGCGCCTGACTAAATCTTCATGGATTCTGCCAAGGATTTTCTTATAAAGGATCTTTTTGAGGAACTCAAGTTAAATATCAGACTTTCTGTAACGCCCCACAACTGTTAGTAATTATTTACGGGTCACTAATGATTGTGGCGTTTGTTTGCTTTTTTTTCCTCCTTGGTTTGAGCTCAGGTCTTAACTGGTCCCTCTTGCTTAACTGGTTACAGGTTTTTTTCCGCAATTGTATTCGAAAGGACCTTTGGTCACCATCTCTTCTCTTGTTGCTCGGAGGTCAGTTATGCGTCTCCGAACACTCAAGAGACACTGACTTTTAATACTCTCCTTTATTCGCAGCCCTTCTGGAATATCGTCAATAAATGATCCATTTCCAATGGTATTTAAAAGATACAGCTGGTCCCACTTAAAGCTGACAAAATGGCCAAATTGTACCACAGTCCAGACTCTCTTTAGTTGGTCATTTTTGTTTTTTTCATCATGTTTTATGGATGCATAAACCTTGGAACAAACTATCTCCTTTTTATCTTCTGTAGACCTCGAAAAGCTTCAATTCACGGTTGTACTCTGAGCGCCCTCCAGGTTATAGAAATACAGCTGACACCTTTCCATGCCTCTCATCTCTCTGGTAGCCCGTGGGTTTCAGATTAATATTAGAGACACATTAATACAGGTTTTTGACACATGCATGTCATGCCAGTCCCCATTGAGTGCAGTGTTAGCTGCAGGTAGATGCAGGGGGCGACCATGTCTTTACAGAACCACGTCAATACATCTAATGTCATAGTATTTGTTACATAGTATCAAGTGTTGGTTTTTATTCATTTTCCTGCAGGTGGCAGCTATCTAGTAGAAAAACTGGCCCACAATAAACACGCGCAGTCAGATAACTTGCAAGGAACTTTGTATGACTGCACCCTTCCTGTGGCCCCCATGAGGGAACAGAGTACACAAACTGATAGGGACTCACATGACCCCTTACACACACACACACACACACAAAAAGAATCTTTCCTTATCGACGAAGGGGCAAGAAAACGCCGCTACAACATTTGAGGCTTGTTGCTCAGCTCTCCTGTTTACAGACTTATTCACAGAATCTCATTTGCACCAATTGTGAGAGTGACATATGAAGGAGCAAAGAGGTTGATGCGATTGAGGGAGAACGGCTCTGCTCTCGGGTGCTGGAAAACACAGCTTTCCATTCCATTCCCCCCGGTCGACCGTCTCAAACTGTTGACGAAAAGTACTCCGACTGATCGAGGCAGCTGCAGGCCATCAGTGGAAAAATATTTCCCTTCCTCTCTTTCTCTCATGTTCCACCCCTCCCTCATCTCGCGATTATATAACTCTTGTCTGTGAGCATTCCTTACAATACTCATTCTGCAGGCTCACTCTAGCATACCGACACCCCGCCCCTCCTCGGGCTCAGTCTCTCCCACTGGCCGAGCAGCGCTCGCAGCTCCCTGGGCATTGGCCCGAGTCTTCCATCACACGCAGGCTGCAGCCTGTCAGCCCATGTGGACATTCTGTCCCACTGACACACTTTCCCACTGCAGTGGGAGAGGGGGGGGCGGCATGCACGACCCGTCCCTCCGCAGACCGGTTTTTAAGGTGGGACTGAACCTCAGCTCAGGCTTTCCCGCTAAACCAACCAGGCAAGGCAATGATAACAAGCCTTGAAAAATGACGCTGAGGAGTTCGGCTGGTGTCGAACACGGATCGGCACTGATTTCCCCAAAGACTATTTCTGCATGGACTGTTTCTGTGCAATTGTGCTGTTTAATGAAGGAGAAATCCCATTTGATTTGGCTGTAATGGCTCATATTATACCTGGCAACAGTCCACTCAAAGCAGACAAGTCTGAACTCGAATGTCAGTGATTCGGCCCACTCCCCAGCCTTTGACATTGAGCCTCTTCTTCAACCCGATCTATTCTTGTACCGTGCTGTGAGCCAGGATTGCACAGATGCAAAGCCGCCCACAACTTTTGCTAAAACCACACATACGTGATTCTTAACTCCTCGTCTCTGACACTCCAGAATACACAAGCACAGCCCAGAGACAGTAAACTATTTGTATCATTAAAACTCCTTCATTTCCTGTAATTCACTTCTTGAACCGATTATCTACTTGCGATGATTCAATAAGCACAGAAAATGTCTTGATAATGTGAAGCGCCGTTTCATTAGGGAAACAAAACAAGAGCTGCAGCTGCTATTTCCACAACTGATTACTCTTATCAATGATTTACTTCAGTAATCATTTATTGTAAAAACTGTAAAAATGTCATTTCAGAATGAGAGGAAGAACACTACCATATGCAAAATGTAGAAGCTGTAACATGTGGATCTTCTGCATTATTGCTTCAACAGGCAATCTACTAATCCATTAGGTGAGTAATCATTTTAGATCTAAAGAAAACACTTTGGTCATGAGATGTGCACCTAAGGGGATGATGTGCGTACTTAACAGACGTTACAGATTGAAATGTCTGACAGTGCAGAGAGAGACAGAGCAGCAGTACCCGCACTATTCGTTAAAGAAACATTTACCTCTAACCCTGGATGTCATTGCTGACCTGTGATAAAACACCCGTATGAGGCGCCTGACCTTTAGCTCTCCAGAGACCGTCTGCATACCAAGAGGATCCATAGCAAACCTGCTTTCCACTAACACGAGGATCGAGTGCTGCCTGTGGCTGACGGGGTGTTTGAGTGTGGTCGTTGTGGGAGCAGCAGGAGGGAAAACCCAAGCGTTTCCACCAACAAAACAACTGCAGCAAAGCGGCTGGCGTTTGTTTCCGACCGCGCCGGCTGCAGCGTCTTCTTCAGAGAGATGAATGTGTAAGCGTGTCATCTCTTAAAGAAAATGGCAAATATATTTTATAAGAAAAGACATCACCTCTCGGTTTTATAATCTCATAGACTGCTGTCAGCACATCCTGTTTGCTTCTGCTAAAAGTCACAATACCCTGAAGACTCAAGCTAAATGCCCTTGAGGAGCAGATTGACGCAAGGCTATTTTTCATTACCTTGCTTTAAGAAAAACCGTGAGCTTGGAAAAAGACACGCAGTAGGAGGCGGGGGGCCTCGACACATATGAGCAATGCTCAAGCAGTTGTTGTGTCATGCAGTTGCCCTTTTCATCCTTATGAAGTCAAGTTAAGTGCACAGGAATTTATCTGATTATTCTACTTCGAGGTGTTTACAAAGCATCAAAGCCAGTGGAAATGGGGAAGAGGAGAGCAAATGTATTCTCAGATATGGGGGAAAACAAAACCCACTTTAAATTGACACTGTCACCTTGAACTTATGACGGCCTCACTTGAGTTGACAGCACACAACTCCTGCAAAAACAAAATTTGACCGTGGATTCAGGGTGATAAAGCTTGACAAACAAAACAAATGAGACTTCAGTCACATACTGAAAATACACATATACTGGATATTGTGGCTACTGGTGCATTCAAATAGTGGAGGCCATGCCGAGGCCCAAAGAGGAGGGAGGGGGGGCTAAGAATGTCATACCGGGTGTCACTCTGGCAGTTTTCTATGATCTTTCACTGTCTTTATGCAAAATACATTTTGCATAAATGCCCACTAATGCAAAATAAATAAAAATAAACCACAGGAAGTGTCAGGAGTCCAGGCACCACAACGGGGCTTGAAAAGTCTGTCAGCAGGCCAAAGCTGTAGGAATAACTCAATAATTTAGACCAATAGGGACCGCAAACGCGTGTACGAATGTTCAAACTGGGACAAAAAAAACGCTGACCTGCTTTTCTATGAGCAGACGGCAGGTTGAGTAACTCATTTATATTTTCAGTGCAGCGTGCTACCAAACGTCCATGGTTTGTTTACATTTGGATATCCTGCCAGAAATGGAGCCTCCTTCCACCTCAGGCCCCCTCTGCTTCTTCCTCTCTGTCCCCAGAAAATCAATCTCTTTCCTCCCCCATTAAAAAACAAAGTCCGTGCAGCTAATCTCCTGTCCTGCACAAAAAAGATTGCAGGGCTAAACCACATCATTAACGCAACCCAGCATCGGTAAATATTTACAGAAATTTCTTTCAACTATAATCGGTTCTAGTGCATGTAGATTTTGGTGATTTGAATCATCTTCTGTAGACTATATGCAAAGACATTAAATAATTAACGCCATCTGCGTTGCTCATATTTATACTTTGGGGCGTTTTGTCGTGTTTATAACAGGGCTATTTCAACTAAACGGCATTCAGACAATCAACACACGGGAAACAAACGTCCTTGCTAATAACAATTATCTGCTGCCCTCTGCCCAAGTTCAACCTCGGTCTGGCATTGAAGTGACACATGAAGGCCGAGCGTCAGTGCGCGCCATGGCGCTGCACGCCGGCGGCGCGGCGCTTCCCGGAGCCTCTCCTCCTCCCTCCGCCGTGCATGCTGTATAATGTTGGGTGACATAACTAGGTCAGTGGAACAGCCAGACCCCCTCTCCCCTCCGTCCACTCACACGGTAGGCCGTGCAGGCACAGCCACCACGCAAAAAGCATCTCACAAGTGCACCGACACGGGTTTCTCTCGAAAAATGACAGACAGCTGAATATTAAAATAGGTTTTGCACATCATTCACGTCGGCGAACGTTTGCCAAATGCGGACTATTTGGATGTTTCATTCACCTGATCACAAACCCGATACACTCGCATTACATCTTGATTACATAATTGCAGGTTTAACAACAACAACAACCTCCCCGGACGCCCCTCCCTCTCCCTATTGCATAACTCTAACATGGATCCCCTGGAAAAATTTGCAGATGGACTCCAGAGTGAGATTTCACTCACTTTTGTTCAAACGCGATCACATTTGGCTCCGCCGTGAAACCATGAAGTAAAAATTACGCATGTGTGTCTTGGAACGATCTCGCCATCGATCTCGTTGGGACTCATTCTCATTTTCTGCACAACCTGCAACCAGCTGATTATTAGTGCATGCTGAACGTCAGCGTGCAGCGCGCCGCTCTCTGTGCAGCTGGAGGGATTAATGCGCACGGGGAGAAGAAGAAGAAGAAGAAGAAGAAAAAAAAACAGGCGCACTCAAAGTCTCCGTGCGCATTCTCGCGTTGTCGTACAGAACCAAACCGAGATTCTTTCGCATCCAAGTACGAGTGGACATTGCACAGATCGATTGCCAAATGAAGTCAACTTACCTCTCATGTTGGTGTTGCGTGTAGCTGTTGACTGAACGGCACGAACGCTCGGCTACATGTAGTGTAATGTAGGTGGCAGAATGGAGGAGAATAGATCCTCTAGAACCACGGCGCCTCCGGAGAGATTCACTTTGTTCCGTCCGGAGACAGCTCCCGTCCAGCACGGTCCAAAAAAAACAGAAAGGTGGAAAAAAAAGAGAGAAACTACCTGAAACTCCCTCTATCGCTCGGTCAATTCCGACCGAAATGAAAGAGTGCGTAAAGTCTCTGCGGATCGCATGGTAACCGTCTCCGTGCACCGGTAAATAGATTTTGCACAACTTTTCTTTCTTTCTTTTTTTTTGGCAGAAAAGTGTGGACGACCGGCGATCGGACCCCCCCTCTGCGATCTGAGTCTCAGCCTGCTTTTCCCTCACTCTACCCTGCTAACCTACTTTCTCCAAGCATGGACTCTCCCATGATCTCACTGCCGACAGCCGTTCACAGCTCTCGCGGGAACGCGCAGTCAGGAGCGAGTTTAAGGTGGCTGGCCAGATGATGGACTCGTGCCATTTTGCCAAGAAATCATTGATCATGTGTTTTGTTAACAGCGTTTTTGCTGTTTTGCATTATTTGAGTTGACCTAGATTACTTCATTTCAACATTTGGCCCGGCTGAGCTTCCAAACATGAAAGTAATGCTGAATAAAAAGGGACTGTTGCAGAAGTCTTTAAGAACAACAATCAAGAAAATATTTTTAAAAGAAAAATAATAAGAAAAAAATGCTTAAATCCTGTTTGATTGTTGCCTTACATCATATTTTAACATCGTTCTTATATTTTTGGCTGTTTGTCAGATAAATACAATATCTAAATTTCTCCTGGGGACTGTGATCAGTATTTTTTAGAACTCATCAACATTTTATAGGTCAAACAATTAATCAAAAAAGAAATCTAAAAATATATATATATACTTGTGTGTGCTGAGGGGGGCTTGGTGTAGCAGACGGCCTTATGATACAATCCTCTGGCATTATGAAGCCGCATGAAGGCAGCGATTACTCAAACTAGATTAGTCGAACAGCCGAACACAGGAGCTTGAGTCTCTTCTCCACACGTTCACGCATACAGAAAGATACCAGCTCTGAAATGTATGTGTTTTTTCCCCTTTCCACCCCTTATTCACGGCCACACGTTCAAATCCTAATGTATCCTTTTCTGCACGGCCTTCCCTCTTAGTCGTTTGGTGTCTGCTGGTTTTCCCTTTCTCTTGCCCCATGCACAACTCCTCTAAAGCCCCTCTGTTCGAAGTCTCCCTTGACAACGGCCGTGACACTTTGACCTTAGGTCTTACGTAACCGCTGTGCAGCTCGGTTAGACGGCACAGGGAGAGGAAGGTGGGGGTCGGAGGGAGGACGGGTTCGCCACGGCTCGTCCAAGGCAGACATTTTGTTGCCCGATGATTAAGTAACAGGTGGAAGGAGAACAGCTCTGAGCTGGAGAAGGATTTTGGGAGGTTGCCAGCAGCAGCATAACAGGATGAGGGAGCAGATGGGGTGGGGGGGAGAAATGATCCATAAATGGAGGGATTTTAGCGTCATAGAATGCAGTGTGACAACAAACAGAGCTGAAGCACACACAAAGAGGCCAAATAGCCCTCTTTGCCTCAAGTCTTTTCAAGTGGAGAAAAGCATCACAGTGGTTTAACTGACAGGCGAGTGGAGCCAGTGAAAGACCGAAAGGTTTTCTGCAGAGAAGCCGTTTAAGATATTTTTGGCATATCTACGCAAGACAAAATACACTTGCAAAAAAAAATCTCTTGCAACCTAGTGGACCCTCTTCGATTACAGTGCACAGCTACAGTGACACGTTTTTCTTGCATTTTGCAGACGTATGGAAGAACAGCTACATACGGCATATGTTTTTGGTTGGTAGTACACAGATTGTCGGCAGCCACCCACGAATCGGCGTACCTGCCGCCTACTTTCTGTCGGGCAATGGCGGCACTTCGTTGTTATGCAGAAGGTCTTTGCTGTTCGAACGGCATAAGGTTTCTCCTGACTCAGATCAAAGCCAGCGCAGCCTCGTGACTCCCCGGGGTTGAATTTAAAGGCCTCGCTCACATCAAAGGGTCTTTGTGGGGATGAGGGACCGACTGTAACTGATTGGCTGCACATGGCTCTGCTGGGCCCGGTCTCTCAGCCTCAGCAGCCACGACTCCTTACATTCCAGTCGCCCTTCTCATGCGTCACATTGGAAAATGTTCCCATGTATTTTCATGTTAAGAGGGGTCATTTGAGATACATCTCACACATAATATTCCTTTATTATTCCACAGTATGTTCTAATTTGTGCATCAAACCCACTAAAATGGCTAAATACACACACATGAACTGCGCTGTGCCACTGAAGTTGTTCAGATTATTTCAGGCTCCTGCCATCCAGAGCTGTAAACCCCCACTCCATTAATCTCCTTGTTTTCTCCACTCGGGAGGCACTGCTAATCCCTCTCCCCCCCCATCCCTGTAGCCGGGCCTCTGTAATCTGGAGCTGCGTCACTGGGTCAGTGTGTCAGATGGAGCCCAGGCAGCGTCCCCTCCTGTCACAATGACTTCATCCTCATCCATTCATTCCAACTCCACTTCACATGCTTTTTCTATCCCGGACTTTTCTGTTTCTCCTCCCCCGTTATTTTGGTCTTCTTATCTTCTGCTACCGCTTCACGCTTTTTTTAAAATGCTTTTGCTCTCAGCTTTTCATACCCGGCTTCCGCTTGATGAAGCCTGAGGAATAAATAGAACACGAGTTCAACCTCAGAGCTTTAGATAGATAATTATCTCACTGACTACTCAACCTTCTCCAACTCACAAGCATCACACAAACATGTGTTTTTAGGGACTTTGGCCCACCTCGCGTTGTAAATGAGTTATTGGGGAGTCTATTCACCTAAAAAATGGTTTGGAGGTTTTGAAGGCTGAACACAAGCTGCTTTGAAGTAAAACCAGAATGTGGCTGAAGAGGAAGTGGAAACCTGACTGGTGGGGGAAATTGCAAATAACATGTTAATAACATTCGACATTCAACTGTCATGTATTTCTGAACTGAAGCCGAGCGTTGAGCACCACACCAACATTAGAGGAGGATTTTCTGGGGATGAAAGGTTGATTAAACTGCAAACAATCAAATTCTCACTGTGATTGATTTGGTCAAATATTTGAACCTATTATTTATAATACAAATCTTTCTTCAGTAACTTTCACATAGACCCAAACCTTTCTGTTTCCATTTTATTCTGTGTAGATTTTCACAGAGGGGCGAAGGTTCATGTATAATTTATTGCCGAAATATTTTATTCCTAAACACATAACAATGTTTTTTTAAATATCTTTCGACAGTATATTCTGCTTTATTTAGTGATTAAGGGAGACATCCAAAATTTTAATATATGGAAAAATCTCTAATGTAATTTTGGTAAATATGAATATCCAACTAGAATTTTAACTAAACTATTATTAATAATTGTATAGCAAAAAAAATAATCTTGTTCATTAAGGACTAAACAAGGGAAATAGTTCAATATCCCCTGTAGAATCACATGATTCAAACTAGCAGCCCTCTGAACTTCTTTAAATCACAACACGCCAGCGCGTCTGAATTCAGGACACCACATTTTCGTCATGTTCTCTGCATGTATTAAAGACGTTCTTAATGACAAGTACAATCAGCTGCAAATCTCTCTCTTTGTCACTCAAGGTCTCCCTAGTCTGTCCCGAACTGCTCTTCATCTCTTCTGCTTTGTTTCTCCTAAATCAGGTTAAGCAGCCACGGACACTCAAGCAGCGGGAGGACTCTGACGTGGTCACAGGTTTCGCACGACTGAACCGATTGTGGAAACAAAAGATTATTGATCAAAGTCCAGACATATTTCTAATCATAATCGCCGGGCTTTAGAATAGTTGTAAATGTCCTGGTCAGCAGGGCCTTTAAGACAGCGGAGTGTCTGTACCCTCTTACAATGATAACTGTGTACGTCATGTCAGCTGATAGAAGATGTCGGCGCTTAAAATGTCTAGATGACCTCCGGATGACTTGTGCGGCAAAACTCTATGTCCTGGGGAAAAGAACACAAAGCCCCCCCCTGTTTCATGATGTTATCTTTCAGCTATATATTTTGGCACCGGAGAAGAAGACCTTTCAGTAGCCTTAACGCATGACTTGTATGAGTGTCAATTCTTTCTCCTCCAAGCAAGTATTAATTATTACATGTCCTGTTTAATGATTTCACACCAGTGTCGACTAAGATTTCTTTTGTAGATAAAGGTTTTGCCTTGGTCGACGGTTCACGTCGATATGTGATGCAAATACAAAAACATGCCACGTAAAGACGTCGTGAGATAAAAGGAGGTTGCCACAGCAACGCGGCTGTTTTTACCATGTGCTGCTTGGCCATGTGAGCACGACCCAGTTACACCTGAGTGAGAGTGATTGCATAAATACACGCGTCAAACGCAAACGCACATGGATCAACACGTGATGTCTCCATCTACAGTGAATAAGATCAGGTCGAGGTGAAAAACGTCCACTTCGACCTTTTCCTTAAGTTTGACTGTTGTCCATCTCTTGTGTGCCATCGGCACGGCACTGCTAGACACTCATGCACCCCTCATCTTCACCCAATTGCATCTGTTCTTACGCATTCCCTCTGCTCCTACAGTTTTCTTTCATTTTCTTGCAAGTCCAGAGCTCAGTCGAATGTGTAATCCCCTAACTGCCTTCAATTATGCAACCAGGAAAGAATCGAATTAATGAACTATCCTATTGTGTTAAGCGGTTCACATTTGTTTATATGATACATCTGCTAAGAATCACTGGAAAATATCTAAATGTGTCTATTATTAAGCAGCTCTTACCAAAAAGGTTCATGGTAGTCAACAACTTCTGGCCTCTTTCTTTTACGCAACTGTTCGACACATGTAATAAACAGTGAATCCGCATTTATCTCACCTCAAATCATTGTTTACTGAGAATAACTGCCTACATTTGAAAACCAGGCATGAGTGAAATCGGGTTATTCAGTTCATACATAACTGCTCGGATGACTCATCTCAGGACAGCCAGCGGAAACAGAGACAGCTAGTGCAGATATTTGGTACAAGAGACTGAGCTTATGTAATACTTGAAGTCTGCAAAGTCTCCAAAAATAGAAGATAAAGGCAATAATTGTTGCTCTGAAACATGCATCACAACACTTTTCTCTACACAAATGCTGCCAAAAGCAGATGCACAGTAACGGTTCTCTTGAAAGCCAGCTGAGCGTCTGTAAAAAAGGGAAAGCTGTCTTTGTTCTGCTGATTTGTCTTTTGCAAGAAGATTCGGGAGGATGCTTCTCTGTCATCGGTGAAGTGGAACGCCGCGTTGTGTGTGTTGCAGATTTTGGGGGGGGGGGACAAGACAGAGACGGGACCGTGAAAGTCTGCATTGCGTCACAGCAGGGAGCCGACGAAAGGAGGGGAGGGACAGCGAGAGAGAAAGAGGGGAGACGGGATGGGGGGGGGGGCAGGGGCGCAGGGAGGGGGGGGTTGCGTCTTCACTGACCCAGTTCGAGCGATGTAAACCCTCTCCCTCGCCCGCCCTGCCTCACTGCTGCTACTGACGTGTGAACTTTCATCAGTACCAGACGGACCGGGATGAATCCAAGGGAATCAGGAGAAGGAGACGGCTGAGTGTTTATACAGACGGGCCAGACGCAGACCAACAGACAGCAAAACAACGTTCGAGAAATAAATGAGAATCGACCGAGAACAGCAGACAAATATATTTACAATGATATGGCAGATCCGGGCAGATCTGGGAAATATCTCTGTGAAAACAGAATAAGGCAAAGTGGATTTAAAACAAATGAACGATAACGATAAATATGGAAACCCCTTCATATCCTGCCTAATATTAGAATTCTGCCTTTTTTCTAGACAATAACCCCTTTGAAGATTAAAGCAGCTCTTGATAAAATCAGGGCATCGCTAGGAAGGCAATAACCACCAAACACACAAGCAGTAATTTCTTACAAATTGGAATTGTCAAGGTCCCCAGAATGTAAGAGAAAAGGGTTTCTGGGATTAACAGGCAATCAAATGCCTTAATGATGAATATTTCACATAAAGCCACTTCTTCTCCAGGCACATTTCACACGAAAGGCTCATGCTCCTTTACACGGCTACACCTGACCTACAGTCTTTTCACCTTGCTCCTCCTTGTGGTTTCACAGTCTACATTTCAGTTCCGATGTTGAGTCATGGAGCAAGGTGACATTTTTGGCCTCAAAAAGCCAAACCAAAACTTTCCTGAAACCAAACTGCATGAGCTAAAAATAGATCAAACCGTCTATAACAACAAGTAAAAGAGCAGCTTTGTACTCCAAACTTGTGTGCTCTGTCATCTGTTTTAGTGCTGTGGATTCTCAACTGTTCCGTCTGTCCCGTCCAAAACCTTTTTTCCAGACCACATTTTCAGATTTCCATTCCCCCGTTTCCGTGGTTCACCCTTGTTTTCTTTCCATCAGCCACTGATTGAATGAACTTTCTGCTCTACATTTCTGCATTTTAAAATGTGGTGACAAAGAAGACACATCTCGATCTCAAAGAAGACACATCTCGATATTCTTCTTCTCAAACCACATTTACTCAACTTTTACTGCGACCGCATGGACCCATCGCCACAAGCTGAATGCCACCAGGCCATCATTATCTTCACCTAAGTGCTCAAACTCGAGCGCAGTGTTAGACCCGCGTTCTGTAAACAGTTATGATGCAGACTATGATTCGTCTGTGTAATCTTGTTAAAATCTGGTCAGGCTTTAAGATTATTGAGGACAAGCAATTTCAGCAAATCTCCCATTATCCAATTTCAACTGTTTTTGTCCGGATACAAAGAAAATATTACAACGGAATGATTCGGGCACGTTGGATGGATTTAAGTCATGGAACTCTCTGTTGGCAGCTCAGTCGCTCTGGTTAATGCACCACTCTGCCACAAACAAGTGAATCAAGGGAGAGGAGGAATAAGCACAAACAAACGACCAAAGCTGACGAGCTCATCACTAGTTTTGACAAGGATTTAGGCAAGAACCTGCAGCAATCAAGGCTGATGTGCAATCAATGTTGTTTCAAGTTGCCAAAGAACATTCAGACTTTTTGTGTTTTCTTGTGGTGGCCAGTAGGCAACCTGGAGCAAGAACCCGGTGACGGCAAACCCAATTCGCAGAAGAACGCGGCCCTTGAAAAGTTGGCCAAAGAAGATGCTGTCAAAATGGACATTGCAGCTATCTGCAAGCTTGGATCTGGACATTAGCGATGACCCAGACGCTAAAAGGAATTTCACAGTAAATGCAATTATCACCGAAGACAATTCAAGCATAAACTAACAACTTATTTTCCAGTTGGAAAAGGTTGAAAACGGCAGTAGTTTGGATGCTTGTGTTGACAGTTCGACTTTTCTTCTGTGTGAAGAAACTGACTAATAAAATAATAAAAATAATAATAATGTTGAAGACCCAAACACAGTGTATGGATTAGATGGTTATGAGACTGTTTCAAACTGCACATTGTCTTGTTTCTAATGTAATGGCTCCTTATGATGAACTTGTATGGAATTGTCTTGTCTGTTCGCCAGAACCAATTGTGTAAGAGCCATTGTGTTTTATTTTGTTAACCTCCAACCTCTTCAGTGTGTATAGCTGCCGTCGATAAGGCCTCATGGTATCGTTAGCCGGATTATTAGGAGCAGGAGGTTGTTGTTGTAAGGAGCAAACAGCTTTTTGAGCGCGTTAATGCGTACAAGAAGGTGCAGGGGTTGTTTGATGGTCTCTATGGTAACCAGTGTTCGTTCATTTAGAGTGGGAAAAGCTGGATGAAGACAAAGAACGTGACTTCCCTTTACAATCGAGCAGTTGAAGAGGGCAGAGGCTGCGCTCTTCATCAGATATTCCCTCCGCCGGTCCGGCATTCTGAGTGTGCGACCTTACTTGTCTCCTTCGGCAGCGTTGGCGTTGCAGATTCGACTTTATGCGTAATGGACGTCTAGCTTTGCAGGCCCGCTGTTTGTTTCAGTTTCACACTAACCACATGTGCACGTCTATGTGTTATAATCGGAACTGTGTCTGCGGTGAGCTGCTGCGACTGTATTTCCCCAACGTCAATCTTTACGCTGACAGCACATTCAAATGTAGCAGAGGCTCACACGAAACTGCACGTTCCAGGTGGATAGATATTGTGATGCAGTTCTCTTCGGCCAATTCAACAATGGGTACGCTTAATGAGGTACGTTTTGTTCTATTGGATCATCGTGACCACCAGTTTTGTTGTTGTTTTGAACTGTTTACAATGTTTATCACTGGGGTTTTTGTATAGCTTTCAAAATGACAAGTTGAAGAGGAAGAGCACATTTTCAGTTCTTAAAAAATCATTTTAAGTTTTTGTTTTATGAGAAACTGCTACAATAAGTCTCGCCAGAAAAGTATGACAGACAGTTCTTCCATAAAATCTGACTTTTCTTTTACAACCAAAGCAGACGCACTTTTCTGAATGAATGTTGGAAGTTTAAGACAGTTCCTCAGCGCCTAAACTTTTCAGAGGAAGTGTACGTTGAAACGGTTTTGCAATCTTTTTAAATATAGGCCCACACGAGTATTGCTTTTAGACTTGAAATATATGAGAAGCTATCCTGTATTGAATAACCCGTAACCATGTATTTCTATGCTGTTATGGGGTTCCATTTCAGTAATCAAACGTGTTTATTTTTCCCTCCATCACACACTTCTTCTAGACATGGTGTGACTCCACCAACTTCACCAAACCTAGTTGCAAAGAGGACGTCCTTCAGGCTGTGGGTTACGGTTCAGTTTTCCTCCTGGGCTTCCTTGTCAATGCTGCTGCTCTGCGTGCTCTCATTGTCAAACAATCCTCCTGGACAGACACACACATCTACATGCTCAACCTGGTTATAGCCGACACCAGCCTCCTCCTCTTCCTTCCCTTCAGGATCTACAATGCCTTCTTCTGCATGGACCGGAATTACTTGTGCACTTTCCTCATTTTCCTACATTACACCAACATGTACGCCAGCATCTTGACAACCACGGCCATCAGCGTGCAGCGCTACCTTATTCTAAGGTTCCCTCTGCAGGCCAGGACATGGAAGAAGAAGAAAGAGACAGCTTGTGCTGTGTGTTGTCTCATTTGGGGATTCCTTGTGGTATCGTGGGTTATATTCCGAGAGGACAATGACCCTAAAAACCTCTGGACCTGCTTTGAAAGATGTAAAAATCACCCTCTTAGTGTAGCGTTCATCTACATCATTGTATGTCTGGGCTACATCACGCCTCTGTTGATCATTGTCTTCTGTTCCAGTTCCATCATCCGCATTTCTTCAGGTCCACGACAAGTCAGAGGAAATCAAAACCGTCATCCGCATAGTCACAACAAACATGATTGTTTTCATTATCTGTTATACACCGATCCATGTTGCCTTTGTCGTCAACTACAATTCACCAGGCACCTGGAAAGTTGGTGAATACTCACCTGAACACAAGTATTTACTTGTGTCCGAATGGATCGCTTCTACAAACTGCTGTTTTGATTCCATCAGCTATTATTTTCTATTAAAACACATTTATCTTTAAGGGTACAAGCTTTTTGTTTGAGACTGCACAATGACGACCTAAAAGAAAGGCTTTTTTAAAGGCGTACTTCACTAATCTCCCACATCAGCTTCAGTTTACTGAAAAGCAATATTTTGCCCTTTTTTGATAAAAAATAATCCTCGTAATGTCAGCTCGGGCTTGAGATTCAACACTTGACATTACTTTAGCAGTATATGGTATAGTTTTGACTCAGTTTAAAAAAATGTTTTAATAAAATGTCTATTATTCAACAATCCCAACTATTTTTCAACATTTATTGCGAAGAAATGCATCGGCGATGGAAAAATGCACTTTTCAGCTTGTTCCAATCGATTCCTAGCCTACAAATTGGTTAATTTCACAGTTGATTTGTTAATATAGCAATTCATTGTTAAAGTCCTGTTTACTTTATCAGTATGTACCGTGGCAAAATAAAATGTATGTAGTTCATGTGTGTTTTTGTGTGTTTTCAGGATATAAATACCTGTAACAAAACCCACTCAACCTTTTGCTCTCTATGTGATGTTCAATGCATCATATGCAAGCAGGCCTATTCTCACCTTTGCACCAAGACTCTCAACAAAACCAGTGTGTGACTAACGCAGCAGCACAGACAACGGCCAGTTGATGCTCGGCCGAGTGCCAGGGGCGTCCCCTCGTTCACCTCCTCATGTGGGCCGTCTGAATGAAGGCCAGCGTGCAGCTTCCTCTTGTGGCGAGAAATGTCAGTGCAAGAGAGATTTACCCGCTGACTCTCCGCTCTGTATCTTTAGCTGTTGATGACAAATATGAGTGATTTAAAGAAATATAAGCTGCACTAACAATGCAGGCATTACTTGAGACTATGAGGAATAGTATTGCATCTGTGCATGCGTGGATTTGCATGTAATTATACGTAGTTATTTCTGTGAGTGCATTTGGAACCAAGCTCGATAACATTAGCAGTCAATTATATAATGCCATTTAATAGCGGTACTCCAAAGATTGATGGTTATTATAACAGCAGTATCTTAGCAACTGCAAAAAACTCAGCAGGCATCAGTCAAATGAGAAGGCTCAATTCTGGCTGAGGTCAGGCCTGCGACTCTACTCTAATAACAGAAACAGCTGAAGTCAGCATTCAGCCAGAGTCACGTAAATACTGTACATACATCTTATTCACAGCATTGTCACCAAAAGAAAACCAAGAAATGAAACAAAACCTCACACTTCAAATACAGTCCCGTCTCAGAAGGATCCCCCCTTCTAAAACTCAAACACTAAACCTACAGGTGATTATTTACACTATTGACAAATGATTGAACAGCTCCTTTTCAATATGCAAAACCAACAGAAAGGTTTTTGTGCTTTTCCTTAATGCTGCACAGTATAATGGCTACAAACAGAAAAAGGATGAGGACATTCGTTCACGCTCAATGATTACTATTGATTAATGATTAAGTATTTTCAAGATCCTCCAGTGTGGCAGTTGACAGACAGACAATCACTAGAATACAGAACACGCCAAAAAAAGCCCAGGATCAGGACAGATATGATACAAAATGAGAAACTCAAGGTCCCCTCAAACCATTTGAGTACATTTGAAGGTTTGGTTAAGAACTACTTATAAATAATTATTATTACTTATCGGAATAAAATGTCACGGCATCAGTGAAGGCAATACAGTATAATCATTAAGGGCCCGACAAAGAGTCTGCATTCATTGTTAGATATTTACAATGCACGTTAAGTGTGACATGAAAGTAGCTCATAAACAGACCCTCAAACACCTCCGGTAGCATTCAGCGTCAGTAGCATCCAGGCAGACAGGGGGAGCTGGAAGAAACTATTTAAACAGTTCGAGTCGACATCGAAATAAAAAAATAATGTATAACATTCAGCATGTAAAGGTCAAAGGCATATGTATCACAAGTATACTGCAATAAGTGAGTTCTCCGGGACCTCAGTACACAAGGTGCACTGCTGACTGAAATGGTCTTCATGGCACTTAAAAAAACGCTTTTCTCTTTTTTGTTTTTTGCTTTAGTATCAGGCATCAGTAAATCATTCACGGTGTTTGGCACGCAGATGTAAAAAAAAATCAATTATGTTTTTGATTTCCATTTCAAAGTGGGTCGATATGGACGTTTTATATTTTCAGACTTACATAGCTATATTGACATGATACATGTGTATCTGTGTTTGAAACCGAATGCCTGATATCCGTTTTTTTTTTAAGTCACTGTATATCTTACATTATGAGTTTTATCTAAATTAAATTTTACTATGTACACACAAACCATATTGTATTGCTGCTCACCAGCACAAAGCTGATGAGTGACTGGGACTGAGCGTGAAAACCAGGTCTGTCATTTTTCTAACAAACCCACAATTTTCCATTTGTTTTACAAAGTTAATTGCTTTTTGCTTCTGCATGTATCTTATTTCCTTTTTATGACCTCCATCTCCTCACTATCACACTCAAACCATGTTGTGTTGATCTGAACGTCGACCATTTCGGGGCACTGGGCACTTTGACGGGCTGAATATATTGGCCCATTTGCCTGCTGGGAACATTTCCATTCCCTCTATTGGCTTTGAGTGAGGCCAAAGGTTTCAATCATCCCTGCTGTAACTGTCACTTTGTTCCCTCTCACGTCTGTGGGACCGTGACCCTCTGGGGGCTTCGCAGAAAATGTTGCCCAATAAAACCAGACTGTGTTCTCTAATTCAGCATTAATGAATGTGTGTGTGTGTTGACTGAGAAGGACAAGGTGTCCGTATATTACAGTACATTTACTTCAGACCCTCTAAAAACGCTCTCTTTCTTCCTCTGCAGCACGAGTCAGTCCAGTGTTGGCGTGCGATCTCCCCAGACGTCCTCGTGGGAATAATTGGTCATTTAAGAGCACGTGGCGCAAAAGGAAGCAGCTCGATGGAGGGCTGAGATGCCGTCATCACAGAGAGCATGCGGTCGGCAGAAACACTGCTGACTATTCAGTCCTGCACTGTGCTCTCCGAAGACGTGAGTTATGGTCCCACATCCCCCCCCCGTGAAACAGGTTAGGGGCATTTGGCACACGAGTTCTGCTTTTCGTACATGTTGAATACTAAATACCCTCGGTCGCCTGCGTCTACTGTATGTGTGAGGCCAAGAGGACACAGAGAGAGAGGGGGAAAAAAAGCGGCGAGAGGAGGTTATGTGTTTCGCCGTCATCCATCAAACTTGTCAGTTTCTTTGTCTGATGAGTCACCTCACCCAGTTTTACAGTTTGGGCTCAAGTACCCGGCTGGCAATCAGACCAACAGGTAACAGGGCGGCGAGCAGACGGGTGGCGGCGGTCCTACCAATGTTCTACACGAGGGAGAAGGAATCACGCTTGTGTAGCAGTATCTTCCTGGCTCTGCAGCCCCAGTAATGCGTATAGGACGTCTAGCTTTGCAGGCCCGCTGTTTGTTTCAGTTTCACACTAACCACATGTGCACGTCTATGTGTTATAATCGGAACTGTGTCTGCGGTGAGCTGCTGCGACTGTATTTCCCCAACGTCAATCTTTACGCTGACAGCACATTCAAATGTAGCAGAGGCTCACACGAAACTGCACGTTCCAGGTGGATAGATATTGTGATGCAGTTCTCTTCGGCCAATTCAACAATGGGTACGCTTAATGAGGTACGTTTTGTTCTATTGGATCATCCTGACCACCAGTTTTGTTGTTGTTTTGAACTGTTTACAATGTTTATCACTGGGGTTTTTGTATAGCTTTCAAAATGACAAGTTGAAGAGGAAGAGCACATTTTCAGTTCTTAAAAAATCATTTTAAGTTTTTGTTTTATGAGAAACTGCTACAATAAGTCTCGCCAGAAAAGTATGACAGACAGTTCTTCCATAAAATCAGACTTTTCTTTTACAACCAAAGCAGACGCACTTTTCTGAATGAATGTTGGAAGTTTAAGACAGTTCCTCAGCGCCTAAACCTTTCAGAGGAAGTGTAGGTTGAAACGGTTTTGCAATCTTTTTAAATATAGGCCCACACGAGTATTGCTTTTAGACTTGAAATATATGAGAAGCTATCCTGTATTGAATAACCCGTAACCATGTATTTCTATGCTTTTATGGGGTTCCATTTCAGTAATCAAACGTGTTTATTTTTCCCTCCATCACACACTTCTTCTAGACCTGGTGTAACTTCACCAACTTCACCAAACCTATTTGCAACAAGGACGTCCTTCAGGCTGTGGGTTACGGTTCAGTTTTCCTCCTGGGCTTCCTTGTCAATGCTGCTGCTCTGCGTGCTCTCATTGTCAAACAATCCTCCTGGACAGACGCACACATCTACATGCTCAACCTGGTTATAGCCGACACCAGCCTCCTCCTCTTCCTTCCCTTCAGGATCTACGATGCCTTCTTCTGCATGGACCCGAATTACTTGTGCACTGTCCTCATTTTCCTACATTACACCAACATGTACGCCAGCATCTTGACAACCACAGCCATCAGCGTGCAGCGCTACGTTATTCTAAGGTTCCCTCTGCAGGCCAGGACATGGAAGAAGAAGAAAGAGACAGCTTGTGCTGTGTGTAGTCTCATTTGGGGATTCCTTGTGGTATCGTGGGTTATATTCCGAGAAGACAATGACCCTAAAAACCTCTGGACCTGCTTTGAAAGATGTAAAAATCGCCCTCTTCATGTAGAGTTCATCTACATCATGGTATGTCTAGGCTACATCACGCCTCTGTTGATCATTGTCTTCTGTTCCAGTTCCATCATCCGCATTTTTCAGGTCCACGACAAGTCAGAGGAAATCAAAACCGTCATCCGCATAGTCACAACAAACATGATTGTTTTCATTATCTGTTATACACCGATCCATGTTGCCTTTGTCGTCAACTACTACAAATCACCAAACATCTGGCTGGTTGGTGAATCCTCACCTGAACACAAGTATTTACTTGTGTCCGAATGGATCGCTTCTACAAACTGCTGTTTTGATTCCATCAGCTATTAT